CTTTCAAGGCCTCTGCTCCCATGTATCCAGCAACCATGCAGTGCCCTTGCCCCAGTTGGTGCTACTCCTCCTGGAAGCCCACCAGGCCCAGGCTCCCTGCACTGGCCTTCATGGTCCTGGTTCCTTTGACACTTGGGCACTATCTGCTATCTCACGCTAAGAACACAAGCCAGGCTGTGAGGTCCGGGGTAAGCTATTCAACCTCCTCTGAACTTCAAGGGAGACACTGCTGTTTTATCTCCCCAGGCCCTACAACAGGGACAGTCAGAGCTCAGATGGGGAGTCTGGTTGGCCTCTAACACTTGTTCAACAACCCCACGGTAAGTGGCACATCGCTGGGCACACAGTTGGTAAACAAACCTAAGTCTTGGACACATCCCTATAAGCTCAGAAAAAAGCTGCCATCAGTATTTGAGACTGAGTAAATGCACAGGTCTTGTCAGACAAGTGCGCTCCGATCGCAGCCCCACAACTGGCTGGCTGGGAGACCACACCTGGCATCGTGCAGGCTGAAGGAATTGTTGACTAGAGGCCTGCCTTAGCTCCAGGACAGTATGGTGTAAGGTGCTGTCTTCCTGGGCACCCCCAAACCACCATCCTGCAAGGGATAGTCCAAAGCTGCCCGACCACACAAGGATATAGCAACAAATGACTCCAGGGTGCAGGGCGAGCTAAACAGCACCCCAAGAATTCACTACACTTTATAGCAGCCCCTTTTCCAGGACTGCCTCTAGCTTCTCTCCTCGCCACTCTTCAAAGATGCCTGCTACCTCTCAGTAAGCTAATCTCCCACAGTGCCAAGCCGGGAGCAGGGAGCAGGCGCCACTTTGCGTTTCTGCGAAAGCTCTTCCCACGTCTGCTGACAGCACAGCGCTGTCTGGCTACCGTCAGGGCCCATGAAATGCTCCTCCCCCAGGAATCCTCAAGCTCAACAGCACAAATGCCCACATTTAGAGTGATGGCCTACAAGTTCTCGCTTCTTGCCACACAGCTGCCTACCACATACTCGTCTCACAGCGAGGGTACCCCTTGAGCCTCAAGACAGCCTCATGAGTTGGCAAGACAGCAGGTACCCATGAAAACAGCAGCTGAAGTTCACCCACTCAAGGACCACGTGAGCACCCCCTCAGACGGACTCTACAGCAGAAAAGCAAGCAGAGGGGACAGGCAGGTGACAGTGGCCTGGACACACCCCCATCCCGAGGGTCCCAGCCATCACCCCACAGAGGGCTGGGCCACTGTCGCTAGTTCACAAGACTGGATATCTGGGCCTTTACACAAAACTTGCCAGGTTCTGAACCGCTCTAAGCTCAGAGACTGCCAGTTTGCCTTCTGTGATCCCCCACGTTAACCACAATTCCCTTCTCTAGAGGCTACTGGCTGAACGACTGCATTCTGCCCGTGCAGACATGCCCAGCAGAAGCAGAATTCCGCCCTGCTCAGGTTCCCTGCAGCTGTGCCCCTAATCTTCCCAGACCACCCGCTGCTCCCACTAGCCCCGCCCCTGGCCTCACCTTAAGCTCCCCTCCCAGCACTCCACGACCCTGCCCTGCCTTGTCCCACAGAACTACAGCTCCTATTGCCATCTTTGGCCTCCATGCACTACTGCCAGGTCAGGAGCTTGGCCCAGAGGTTAAGATGTCCACAGTCCATATCCAAGCATCTGGATTCCATACCAGGGTAAGGATTCTGACTCCAACTTCCTACTAATGCAGACGCTGGGAGGCAGCAGTGACAGCCCAAGTCCCATGGGAGACCCCAGGCTTCAGCCAAGCCCAGCCCTAGCCACTGTGGACATTTCAGAGATGAACCAGAGATTTTTCAAATAAAAGAAATTTGGAAAAAGCCGGCAAGTTAACCCATCAACAGATCCTGTTTACTCCAGGGGAAATGACAATGTGATCCAGTAATTTTCATTCCTACTAAAGCTGGCAGTCTAGGAAGATAGAAGATCAGCTAACAGTCCAATCAACCACACGGATGGCGAAGAGCAACACGAGCCAATCCAACTACACCTAAATGCAAGCCCACTGCAGATACTCCACACCTGACAGCCTCACTGTTACAGTGAAAGGCAGCGTGCGCAGGGCTCAGCAAATACCAGACTGCCTGGTTCAAGCACTGGCTCCACCTCAGACCCCAACTTGCGAATACACATTCGACACAGCAACTCACACAGGAAACCCAAGCTCCAATTCCAGGCTCCTGGCTTTGAAGGGTGGACAAGTGGATGAAGATCTGTCTCTGGATTTCCAATTAAATGGCTTGAGTTTGAAAAAAAAAAAAAAAAAATTGGGGTATGGCATGCACGAGGCACAGTAGTTAGGCCACCACTTGAGACACCTGCATTGCATCCCTTCCTGTGCCTGGCTTCAAGTCCCAGCTACTCTACTTCCAATCTCGCTTCCTGCTTACGTGAGCCCTGGGAGAAAGTAGTAGGTTGATGGCTCAAATATGTGGGCCCCTGCCTCCCAGGTGGAGGTGTGGAGTTCCAAGCTCCTGGATTCAGTCTGGCCCAGCCCTGGCTGGCACAGACCTGTGGGCAGTGAACCAGCCAAGGTGGAAAATCCCTCCGTCTGTCTTTCAGATAAAATGAAATACATTTTCAAATAAAATGAAATAAATTTTCAAATAAAATGAAAATAAATTTTCAAGTGAAGTGTATGAAGTTCTTGGAAACGTGGAATTAAAAATTTGTTTTTTAAAAGAGGACAAACTACATTCTATTATACCAGTTTACACTGAATGCTTTAATGGAACACGTAAACTCGGAAGCTACTGAAATCTGCAATTAACAGCAAACTATAAAACCGCTGCTGAATTTCAAATATAGTTCAAACAAGAGACACGTGAAAGTTTTTACAGTTTATTAATTCCCATGAAAAATTCGCACAATCACTGTAGATAAATTCACTGCAAAATCTTTACTCCTTCGGCTGTGAAGAGAAAAAGATGAAGTTAGCAACTATCTTTAAAATTCTTTTAAAAGTTCAAAGTCTTCAACAAATCCTAAAATTAATAACATTCATGCAGAACAATTAATAACCTAGAATCAAATTATGTGAAGTCATTAACACAATGTAACATTAAGAAATAAAACAAACGTTCAAGTTAGAAAACAAAAATGGGTTAAATATTAACTACATTTTAAAAACAAAACCATGCTATTAGTAATTTACAAGGTTATAACTCTGGTAAATCCATCTCTAAATGATTTTTACATGATCTTTAAACTTAGTACACTGGTAAACCAAGTAGGTGAACAATCTACAGGAAAAGCTTGAATTATACCTGTTATCCATCTCCAGCTCACTGAATCAGTGGCAGGGAAGAGAGGAAGAAAGGGGGAAAAAAACATTTCATTAATAGTCCCTTTTCAAACTCCAGAATCGTCTCAGTGCATGCAATCAGACACCTCAGAAATGGCCGTGTGGGTCCTAAGGGCTGTGTGCACAGCCTCCCCCAGGCCCACTGACTGATTAATCCTACAATTCTGTGGCATGATGACTTCACAAATCATGATGCCAAAGTGCTACCACGTCCAGGTGTGGATGAAATATGCACACCTGAGCCCTGGCCCTCTGCTCTGCCCAGCAGTGTCATGCCAGGCTCACGGACACTGAGCCAAGAATCATTCCTAAGTCTAACTTAACCTCAATGGAAATGCTGAGAGGTACCATGTCTTTTAAAAAGGTAGCTCGGTTCCACACTTTAAAAGACATCATTCACAGCCACAAAAGTAGTGCAAGTAAGAAGGAATTTAGCAGAAATGTTACAATAATCGCTCTTCAAATAGGAGACCACTACAGACAACTGCACTGCACCCGAAAGGAAGCACGTACACCTACTGCAGCATCGGAAGCAGACTGGCTTATGGTGTCGGTGCCAGGGTACGTGTGCTCACATGTGAACTCCTCTTCCAGGTGGCTTTTCGAAGCAGCACCAGGGAACTGCACCAGCACAACTGGAAGCAGGACTGGCAACAGCGCAGGAGCTCCCCCCAACCACTCCATACATGAGACTCAAAGGTCAAATGAAGACTCAGTACTAAATGTCATTCAAACCTAGGTCAGAGGACAACCTCTGGCTCCTCTCTGACACTGTCTACAGGTCTAATGGTCCCCACCCAGAAGCCACTGGTGGGTAGTCTCGCTGGCAGCTCATCACCACCAGCCACTCCAGTGCTGGGAAGTCAGTGTGATTACAGTCCTGGGCAGGGATGCCACGTTGGCTGCTCCGCCTAAGGAGTCAGAAAAGGAAGCCAGGAACAGTAGACACTACCGTTCCAAAAGCCCACTGCCCTGCCCTCTAGCCTACTTAGTGTGTTACAAATTTAGGCTGTTCAAGTATGTTTAAAATGGGGTGGTGGTCCATTCTGACCAAATGTTCACAGGAAGACTTACCTACCAAAGGCTTTGATGTAAATTTATAATTATCTCAAAAACCTTCCTACAAAAAGGGTTCACCATACAGAAAACCGGAGAATGAAGAAAACGCTGGGAGGTGGCTGAGTGGAGACTACCAGGACAGAGGCTGTGCCAGATGTCACTGAGCAGCTTTTACCGGAGCTGCCCAGGACCCACTGGCCTCGTGGCTCCTGGGGGAAGACGGCTCACAGGCGACACGGCCCCTCCAAGCCCAGCGTTAACTACTGCAGTCTCCCGAGCATGTCGTTATCTGAGACAGAGCACTTCCCAAGTGCAAGCTGCAAGGGTGGCACCTATCTTCCTCCCGTGAGTCATTTCTCCACTTAACATGCGCTTGAGTCTCCAAAGTGAACATGATTCCAAAGTCGTTCTCCTTTGCTCATAATACACTAGTTTAAAATGGCATTGACATTAAGCTGGATCACACTATAAAATCGTTATCCAAGAGCCGACATGCAAAGCAAACTCAGTGAAGGTGATGCATCCCCACACCGTGCTTACAATCTCAGTACCTGCTAGACACTTCATTTCTGATGAACAACAAATCCAAGAAAGTAGAGGGAGAAGGCAAAAAAATTCACAGAACACTTGATTATTTGATAATTTAACAACCCACCACCTTAATTCAACTATTACAACTAGCTAGCAAAGCTGGTACAAAGCTGCTTATCATCCAAATCATCTAGGTCTGGACTAATTGGAGGAAAGCAATGCTAGGATCTCGACGCCTCTACAGCGTGCCAGGCAAGCATGGGCCACATTGATCCAACTGTTCCTTAGGCCAGGACCCGGGGAGTTTAATCCCAGGGACCAAGAGCTGCTCCCCTCTAACAGTCCATGCCAATGAGCAGCGAAAGGGAGACTCTCCGACAGGGCCTGCCAAGCGCCCACCAGGATCACTGCACCAATGCGGCCCCCATGCTGCGCTAATCAGAGCTAGTGGGGAGGGCCACACTACTCTACTGGTGTGTAGACACACTACGATGCCACACAGCTTCGCAGAGCACGTTACCTTCTGTCATCCAGAAGAAGGGGAGGGGAAGAAACATTAAGAAAAGTCATTAACAAAGTTGCTCCTTTCTCAACACTGAAGACCCACAAACGGCAGTTTTCCTGGAGAAACTGTACCTTTTTGCCAGCACCAACGTTGGCCTTGGCAGTTCCCCTGACCTTCTTCATCCTGTTCTTACGCTCCTTTCGCTGCTTTCTTGAAGTCTTTTTCTTCTCATACAGGCCATGCTGAAGGAACAAGAATGCATAGGCTAGCAAACATTAACTCATCAGCACCCACTACCCTGGGAGAAAAGCGACCAGGTCAACCAGGTCAGAGCTAAGAAACCCGCTAGCAAACCTGCCACCTCCCAGAGGGCTTGCCTCAGGCTGTTGCCAACTCCTCCCCTTGCCTGTCCAGAGAAGCAGCTACCCTTCTTCTCCCCCCACCCGCCTTTGCCGCTCCTGTTGCCAAGAGACTTTTCCACAGCCTCAACATCATCCCTCAGCAGACCTCCCCAGAGCACATCACCAAGTGCCACAGCAACCACAAGAGAACAGGCACAGCGTGCTGTCTACTCAGATGAGCCAGGACTCCTGCCCAGTCCCCTCTGTAGTGTCTGACACCAAGCAGATGTCAAGAGATCCTGCCATGGTTGCAAGATATCTACAGGAGTAAGCCCAAACTCAAAGGGCCTCACTCAACTTGGTGCCAGTTTTCCAAACTACGTATTTCTCTGGAAAATGACCCTTACCCCTGGCCTGCTCTGTGAGCACTATTGTACCCGCCCTTCCAAACCTAACTCAGGCCTCAGACAATATTCTGAATCCTCATGTCCTATCTATAACACAAACCAAAGAACCTTCTCAGCCCCTTTAGGGTCCTTGCCAGACTGCACGACCTTGTTCCTCCTGTACACCCACAACACAATGCTGAACAAACTCAAGAGACACATACTCTTGCAAGTCTGTGTTTGGGTTCATTTTTCTTAGCATAATCCAAGGAATCGTAAATCATGCCAAAGCCTGTTGTCTTGCCACCACCAAAATGAGTTCTGAATCCAAACACAAAGATGACGTCGGGAGTCGTCTTGTACATTTTGGCCAGTTTTTCCCGAATCTCTGTCTTCGGCACCGTCGCCTTGCCAGGGTGGAGCACGTCAATGACCTGGAAGGAGACACCTAGTTTACTGTCCGCCCCAGGGAACTTCACCTTTACAGTAACCACAGACCCCTGCACAGACGGGCTGGGGTGCCCTTACTTACCATCTGCTTCCTCTGCAGTAGTCGGTTAGTCATGAACTTCCGGGTCCGGATGGTTACTGTGTCGTTCTGAAACAGAGCACAGAGTTGTTAGAAGACTCCATTCCCTAGTCTCCAAGAGCTGGTACTACCAACTGTATACACACTAGCTATGTGACTACTTCACCGACGTTTAAACAGTCCTCCGCTGCAGTGCCCCATTCCAAGCGCTCACAGCCCGAGGGAGGACTAACAGCTCGAAAGCGTCAATAAGAAGTAAAAGGGAAATGCGAAATCCCACTCCCGACAAGCAAGCGCCCGGGAAAGGGCAGGCCACAGCTGTGTGAGCCCACAAGCCCTTTCAAGGGGCTCGCCCCAGAGCAGGGCTCCTCTACCTCAGCACTGGCTATGGCCTGTGGTGGGGGCTGCCCCTGTGTTTAAGATTACCTGTAAGAATTCTTGGCCTCAGCCAAGACACCGGGAGCATCTTCCCACCCCCCACCCCCATTGGAGACAACCCATCATGTCTCCATCCTGCCTATGGACTGAAAACCACCCTGGCTCACGGTACCCTCCCCTACCCAAACCCGAGGCGAGCATTGCACTCACCACCTACACGGAATCTGCCCTTCCCCAGTTCCTCACGAAACTGGGCAGTCGCTTTGGAACGACCCAACTGTTTTTCCCCTAAGTTCTTAGCAAGGAATGCTGGCTTCCGGCAAGTTTACCATGACTAACCAGGAATTTTACCAAAAAGTTGGAGGTGGGGGCCGGGCTTAAAAGCAGCCAAGTGAGACCCGGGCCAAATTAAATTCCTCCCCATGGCACTCGTATTAACTTTCCATGCATCGGTATGTGTTAAAATGGTAAGACTTGGGTACTGCATTTCCGTTCACAAACCTCGCGGAGTTACCTTTTCGACATGACAGCACACCTAGGCAGATCTATAGCTTTGTCCCCTTCGACAAGTTTTCTTTGGACAACTCGCCAGTGGGTACACACGGATTTGGCAACAAGGAAAGTTTAAGAAAAAAAAGACCCTACAAAACGAAACCCTAGCTGTCTTGGAAAACCTTTCTCTTTTACTTACATTTGTTCTAGTAAGGAGTCCGGCTTGATAGCCACAACACCTCGAATCACAAAGGTAACAGGGCAACGGCACTCATTTATTGAAAGCAAAGCGCCAGAGAGCAAACAGCTTGCAGGCGCGGCCAGAAACAGGTGCTAAGCCTTCGATGCCCGCGCCGACCGGTCGGGACTCACGCAAGCCCACCTTGTGATCCATCCCTTCCCGGGGCTAATTTTCCCCAATAAGAGCACCCATTCGCCCGACGGGTTTTCTAACTTCCACGCGGACACTGTCTCGCTCGTCGCCACGCCCCGGCGCCGCCAGCCCCTGCCTCGCCCCTCGGGCTGCCGTCCCCTGCAGGGCGCCTACCCCAGCGAAGCGCTCCGGGCGGGACGTGCCTCCGAGGGTCTACACTCCACCCAACCCACTGTGCTCCGCCAGGTCGTCAAGCGCCCTCCACCGCTCCCGCAGTCTCCAAAGCCGGGAGCCCGACATGCCGCGATCAGCAGCGAAGCCCGACAGCACCAACTCTTCGTCCGTCGCTCCGAGGCCCTCGGCAACCGGCCCCCGTCAGACACGGCCAGAAAAAAATCAGCCGGGCTTCCCGCAGCTGCATGTCACACATAAGGACCGAGGGACGAAGGATGGCTCGGATATGAGACGGATGAGAGGGGTCAGTCTGGAGAAACTCACCATGATGGCGGTAGACCCTCACGCAGCCAGGGAGGAAAAGAGAGCCACCCTTTGCCGGCCAATCATATCAGCGCGCACGGAAGGCCCCCGGGCGACGTCGGCGTGGGGGCGTGGCCTGAGCCGCGGGGCTGGCCGCGCCACTGCCTGATTAAAAGTGCCTGGGGTCCCGCCTCACCGACCTACGGCCACACCCTAGGTTTGCAGACCGGCCAGTGCGAGGGCTGAGTTTCAGCGGCTTGCACCCCAGTGGGCCGAATTGTCGACGCAAGCCTGGAGGGCATCCTCGGAGGTCTTCCAGCACCAGCCCCTCGCTCTGCAGCTGCCTGTCTTTGCTTGCTTGGCCCGGATATCCGTGCTGCTTAACGTGAAGCAGACGTACCAAGAATGCAAGCGGGCGCGTTTCAGGAGAAGCTCCGAGAAACTGGTGTGGACCGGGAGCCCGCAGTGTAGACTTGGAAGACCCAGGCACTGGTGCAGGCGTGGTGGCGCAGCGGGCCGAGCCGCCAGCTGGGGCTCCTGCAGCCCACGTCTCCGTGCCTGGGTTCGAGTCCCAGCGCCACTTCCGACGCCAGCTCCCCGCTGCTGCGCACCGTGGAAGGCAGCGTGATGGCCCCAGTGCCTGGATCTCTCCCTTCCGCGCGGGAGAGACCCCAATGGAGTTCCAGGCTCCTGGCGTAGGGGTTCTAGCAGGGGCATGGCTAAGGCACAGAGACGGCAGCAAGGCTCTCCGCCCCTTTGCTCACCAACTAGCTCCCTACCAAGCCCAATTTGCTAGGACACAAGGAAGTTAAATAACTTGCCAGGGGTCACACGACTATAAGTAGGGATTCTAGATTCCCACGGGCTCCGTGACTCCAGGACTGTTCTCTGTATTAGTGCTTAAAATTCTCTATCTTATTTGAAGGGTAGTTAGAGAGAGAGAGATCTTCCATACGCTGTTTCACTCCCCAGACGGCCACAATGGCCGGGACTGTGCCAGGTCAAAGCATCCAGGAGCCAGGAGCTTCCTCCAGGTCTCCCTGGCGGGAGGACTTGGGCCATCTTCCACTGCTTTCCCAGGCCATTGGCAGGGATGTTGTTTTACTACTGGGGCTCCATGGCATAGGAACATGGGAGAGTAACGGGCTGGGGCTGTGGTGTGGTGGGTGCCAGCATCCCATATGGGTGCCGGTTGGAGTCCCGGCTGCTCCACTTCCGATCCAGCTCCCTGCTAACGCACCTGGGAAAGCGGTGCAGCACAGCCCAAGTACTGGGGCCGCTGTAACCACATGGCAGACCTGGATGGAGCTCTTGGCTCCTGGCTTCAGCCTGGGCCAACCCTGGATGTTGCAGCCATTTGGGGAGTGAAACAGTGGATGGAAGATCTCTCTCTCTGTCTTCCCAAATAAAGAAACCAAATTTTGTTTTAGGCTTTTAACTTATTTATTGGAAAAAGCAGTGACACACAAAAACAGGGACACAGAGAACCTTCCACACGCTGGCTCACACCCCAGATGACCGCATCAGTCACCGCGAGGCCAGGCAGTAGCCAGCAGCCAGGGACTCCATCCTGATCCCCCACGTAAGTGGCCGGCGGCCTAAGTACTCAGGCCGCCGGAAGTGGAGCAGCCTGGACGCGAGTTAGCGCATATGCCGGCATAGCAGGTGCAATCTCAGGAGGCGCCGCCGGGTGGCGCTGCAGAGAGAAGCCACGAAGCGGCGAGTCGGAAGCCTCTCTTGACAGACAGCCGTGCCAGCGAGTAGCGGAAGAGGAAGCAGGCGCGTGGGACGCTCTACGGGGGCCGGCAGGGTTCCGCGGATGCTGTAGCCCCGAATCGAGAAGCACCCCGGGGAGGTGCGGGGGGCCTCGGGCCGTCGTTTCTCTAACCCGAGTCCCCGCGAGGGCTCCCCTGCAGCCGCCGCCATGGTGAAGGAGCAGTTCCGGGAGACGGACGTGGCCAAGAAAATGTAAGATGGAGCAAGAGCGGGTAAAGGGCGTAAAAGTGAGGGGCAGAGAGGTCGGGGGTCTCCACGGTGAGGCGCAGTGGGAAGGGGAGGGCCTGGAGCAAAGCCCACGAGTACGACGGCGGGTTCGGGAGCAGCGGCCGGAGGGTCACGGCCCCTGAGGGCCCCTGGACTGGGGCGGAGAGGGCAGAGTGGCCGGGGCCAAGCGCCCGCTCTCCCGAGCCAGTACGGCGGCCCCGTTCTGTTTCCAGCGAGGCTTCGCGCAGCCGGCGCGAGGGCAGTGCCCGGGATCGGGTCTGCTGAGCGGCCGGGGTGGGGTTGCCAGGGCGAAAGCGGCCCCCCCAAGGCAGAGGCATGACAGCCTCAGAGGAGAGGCTGCTGGTAGACATACGAGTGCATCGTCCTCGCCGCAGATAACGCTGCAGAGCCGAGCGTGCGCTGGGCCCCGCACTGCCTGGCCTCGCCGGAGGAAATGGACAAGCCAGCGTTGGCTGCGGCCAGTGCAGCCCCAAGCACGGGCCTGGAGGGCTCTGGGAGCACGCCACAGGCCCAGGCAGGGGGCAGCCCAGGGGCCGGGGGGCTGGGGCGAGAAGGAAACAGGACACTTGGAGCTGACCGGGGGAGTCATTTGGAAGCCAAGAGGTCTTGATCAGCATTCTCCTGGAAGGGTTAGGGAAGCCTTGGAGGCCACGGCGTGGAGCCGGGCCCTAGTCATTCCCTGGGCTCCACGTTGCTTGTCCACCGGGTCGTCTTCTCCTGGTGGTAAGGCCGCCAAAAGTCACTTTTACAGAGACTTTGTTATTAGTTTTTTTTATTTACTTAATTGAAAACAGCAGGAGGAAAGAGAGAGGGAGGGAGATCTTCCATTCGCTGGTTCATTCCCCAGATGATGGCAACAGCTGGGTCTGCGCCAGACTGAAGCAGGAGCCGGGAACTCCATTCAGGTCTCCCAGACGAGAAGCGGGGGCCCAGGCCCTTGGGCCATCCTCTGCTGCCTACCCTGCACCTCAGTGGGAAGCGGAATAGCCAGTCAGGACTCGGACCGGCACTTACGGGGTGAAAGAGTTCCAGCAAGGAATGGAGAAAGAGAGAGAGAGAGATACCTTCCACCCACTGGTTCACTCCCCAGATGACAGCAACGGCTGAGGCTGGACCAGGCCAAAGCCAGGAGCTTCTTCTGGGTCTCCCATGAGGGTGGCAGGGCCCAAGCATTTCCGCAGCTTTTCCAGGCCATCAGCAGGGAGCTGGGCACGAGCCAGTGCCAACACGGGATGCCGACATCGCAGGCAGCAGCTGCACCCGCTACACCACAACGCCAGCCCCGCTAGCGCGGTTTAACCGAGTGAACACACGTGGCAGTGCAGGCGGGCAGCTCAGAGAAGAAGCAAGTGACCAGAGGGGCTTTCTGACCATGCAGCATGGCGTAGTGGCCTCCACGTCCCTCCACCCTGTCACATAAGCCTACTTCTCTGCACCTGCTTGCGGTTATGTGTCTGCGTGTTCATCGTCTGTTTTTCCCACCCTGCACTGGGAGCTCCCTGTTGTCTGTCTTGTCTAATCTGTGTCCTCAGCCCCGAGCCTGCCATGTAGCAGAGACGAAGCTTTGTTAGAAGGATGAATGGACAGGTAGAGGGGAGAAAGTATGTTTCAGATACGTCCGATCCGGAGTGCCTTGAGATGTCCAGGTGGAGCTGTCCAGCAGGAGCTGTCCTGTCTCCCAGTGTGCAGCAGAGCAGCAGCAGCTGACCTGCAGACAGATTTGATAGGCCTCAGCGTGTCTACACTTAGGAGGGTGTGTGGCCTGGGAAGGCAGTGGAAGATGGCCCAACTCCTTAGGCCCCTGCACCACGTGGGAGACCCGGAGGAGGCTCCTGGCTTCAGATCGGCTCGGCTCTGGCCATTACGGCCAACTGGGGAGTGAACCAGCAGATGAGAGACCTTTCTATCTCTTGCTCTGCCTCTGTGTAACTCTGTCTTTCAAATAAATATATAAATATTAAAAAAAAAAAAAAAGTGAGCGAGCAGTCAGCCTGGGGAAGAAAATCTCCGGAGTATGACGTCACCCAAGGCGGGAGATGGAAGGACTGGGGTTTGGGGCAGGCGGGGAGGGACTCCTGGTGCTTCAGAGAGTTGAAGTACCTAGGTGAGTCCTGCTAATTTCAGGGGCAGGAGACACTGGATTCCAGTGGGGTGGAGAGGTGCTGTGAGAGAGGAGCGGGGCCAGTTTGAACCGATCAGCCTGCGGGGGAGGGCAGCACCGGCAGGTGGGCCATGGACAGGTGTTAGCGCTCCCCTGTGTCTTCCTGTCCCAGAAGCCACATCTGTTTTGGAATGAAGTCCCCCGAGGAGATGCGGCAGCAGGCGCACATCCAGGTTGTGAGCAAGAACCTGTACAGTCAGGACAACAACCACGCCCCGCTGCTGTATGGCGTGCTGGACCACAGGATGGTGAGGCCCTGGGCCCTGATGAGGGCCAGGTGGGAGGGCGAGGCCTGCTCTCCATCTCCCCGTCCCCTGCACATCTCAGGCCAAGCCCGAGTCCCCTGCCCCACAGTGGTCTCTGTTAGTCACTGCGTGTGCTTTTCTCCAAAGGGTACGAGTGAGAAGGACCGTCCTTGTGAAACCTGTGGGAAGAACTTGGCCGACTGTCTGGGCCATTATGGCTACATTGACCTGGAGTTGCCGTGTTTCCACGTGGGGTACTTCAGAGCCGTCATAGGCATCTTACAGGTAAGCATACAGGTGTTGTTCTCCAAGGCATACATTCTAGATTAACTGGCCCAGTGCTGTGGTGTAGCAAGTAAAGCTGCCGCCTGCAGTGCTGGCATCCCATTTGGGCACCGGTTCAGTTCCTGGCTGCTCCACTTCTTATTCAGCTCTCTGCTATGGCCTGGGAAAGCAGTAGAAGATGCCCAAGCCCTTAGGCCCCTGCACCCATGTGGGCCGGAAGAAGCTCCCGGCTCCTGGCCTCGGATTGGCACAGCTCTGGCCGTAGCGGCCATCTGGGGAGTGAACCAGCCTCTGTCTCTGCCTCTCTGTAACTCTTTCAAATAAATAAATAAATCTTTTTAAAAAAATCACAAAACAAATTTTAGAGTGGTCAAGGACGTTAGGATTAGAAATTGTGAGTGGTGGAGAATACATCCAGGTAAAATTTTATACTAAATATGTAATGTTTTCATCTAGAACTATGGTATATTACTTAAGAATTCTTTTTTCTTTTGAGAAAGTGCTAGCTGTATACCTTAAAAATAACAATGGTGCTAGTAATTCAAATAACGCAGAGTAGTGCGAAAAAGTTAAAAAAAATCCTACCGGAGTGAGTATTATGGGGCAGCAGGTTAAGCTGCCACTTGGAGCACTCACATCCCATATCAGAGTGTCTGCGTTAAGTCCCAGCTACTCCGTATTTCTGGTCCAGCTTCTGCTGATATACCTGGGTGGCAGGTGATGGCCCAAGTACTTGCGTTCCAGCCACCCATGTGCATGAACTGGATGGAGTTCCTGGCTGCAGCCTGGCCTGGCCTTGGCTGTTGCAGGCATTTGTGGAGTGAACTGGCAGAAGGGAGGTATCCCCCACCCCCCATCATTCTGCCTTTCAAATAAATAAGTAAATCTTAAAGAGAAAAACACAGACCATGTCAGCTGGGTAGGAACGCTACCGACATTCTCACAGGGGCTTCCCCGTGCCTGTCTGCATCGCTCAGGGCGCCGGGCAGCACGGAGACGGGCGTCTTTCAAAGGGAAGACCTTCCCTCTCTCACCCTTGCTCTGCTCTGCTCCCTGTTCAGATGATCTGCAAGACCTGCTGCCACATCCTGCTGTCCCCGGAGGAGAAGAAGCAGTTCCTGGATTACCTCAAGAGGCCCGGCCTCACCTACCTGCAGAAGCGAGGGCTGAAGAAGAAGATCTCGGAGAAGTGCCGCAAGAAGAATGCCTGCCATCACTGTGGCGCCGTCAATGGTGAGGCCCGGGGACCCCCTCCCGTGCCACGCTGTGCCGCCTCCTGCTGCCCTGGCCACCGCGGGCCCTGTCGGAGCGTGCAGCTCTCGTGGGGCTCCCAGGGCTCTAGCAGCTTCTGTCATTTCAGTGACCAGACTAATCTCAGGCCACCCTGGGGACCTGATAAATGCACTTTTCCAGGTACTGTGAAGAAATGTGGACTACTGAAGATAATTCACGAGAAATACAAGACCAACAAGAAGGTGGTGGACCCCATCGTCTCCACTTTCCTTCAGTCTTTTGAAACGGCCATTGAACATAACAGAGAAGTGGAGCCGCTCCTGGGGAGGGCACAGGTGAGCCCGTGAGCACATGCCCGTCCCGTACACGGTACACACTCACGTACTCTCCCTCCCTCTCCTGCCCCGCTGTGCCTAACTGCTTCCAAAGACCAAGACAGCGCTCCAGGCGTACTGCACGTGACTGTCCTAGGCTTTTATCTGGCCCCAGCTACAGAGTGGCCTGGCCTGGGACCTCCCCTTATTTTTGTTTATAAAGTTTATTTAAGACAGATAAAGAGCTCCCACCCCTGATTTACTCCCCACATGCCCACAACAGCCAGGGTTGGGCCCGGCTGAAGCCAAGAGTTGGGAACACAATCCAGGTCTCCCAAGTGGGTGGCAGGAACCTATGACTTGAAGCATCACCTGCTGTCCCCCAGGTGCTCCTCAGCAGGAAGCTGGAATGTGGAGTGGCGCCAGGATTTGAAGCCAGCCACTCCAGTAAGGCACCTCAGCTGGTGTGGTAACCACTATGCCGACTGCTTATCCCTACTCACATTTTATGAGATAACGTGTTAGGTTTTATTATAAATGATTTTTTTAAAGGTTTATTTATTTGAGAGGCAGAGTTAGAGAGAGAGGTTGGTCTCCCATCCACTGCTTCACTTCCCAATTGGCTGCAACAGCCAGAGCTAGGCCAATCTGAAGCCAGGAGCCACAAGCATCTTCCAGGTCTCCCAAGTGGGTGCAGGGGCCCCAGCACCTGGACCGTCTTCTACTGCTTTCCCAGGCCATCAGCAGAGAGCTGGATCGGAAGAGGAGCAGCTGGGACTTGAACACCAGTGCTCATATGGGATGCTGGTGCTGCAGGCAGAGGCTTATTCTACTGCGCCACATTTCTGGCTCCATTATAAATGATTTTAAAATCACAGCTGTCAGGGCATAAACTGAGAGAGGTCCTGCTCCTCACGTGGATAGTGAGGGACAGGAAATGGCACACAGGAAGAATGAGGGGTAACTTGATGAGCAGCCCCCAGGGAGGGGGGTAGGCGGGGAGGGCTGAGGTGAGTGGGTGCCCACACATGTAGTCTGGAAAAAGCATAAACTTGGCTGGCGCCTCGGCTCACTAGGCTAATCCTCCGCCTTGCGGCGCTGGCACACCGGGTTCTAGTCCCGGACGGGGCGCCGGATTCTGTCCCGGTTGCCCCTCTTCCAGGCCAGCTCTCTGCTGTGGCCAGGGAGTGCAGTGGAGGATGGCCCAAGTCCTTGGGCCCTGCACCCCATGGGAGACCAGGAGAAGCACCTGGCTCCTGCCTTCAGATCAGCGCGGTGCGGCGGCCATTGGAGGGTGAACCAACGGCAAAGGAAGACCTTTCTCTCTGTCTCTCTCTCTCTCTCTCACTGTCCACTCTGCCTGTAAAAAAAAAAAAAAAAAAAAAAAAAGGAAGAAAGAAAAAGAATGAACTCTTGATGGACCTGATTGAAGTGGAGTTGTCTGATGCAGCTGCAGCTAAGCTGTGGGCAAGGTTGAGGGGCCATTGGCAGCCTTGGTCAGTGAGCGTGAGGAACGATGCACACTCTCGGTTGTGGCTTTACCTGCAGGCTCCCCGTGCACTCACTCTGCTCCCGCCTCCACCTTCCACTTGCAGTTGTCTGCCCAGGACCCTGCAGCATTGTCCTTGCCGTGAGAACCTTCCCTGCCCCTGCTCCCGAGTGGAGCACCGACTCTCCGTGGGTCTGCCAGGTGTTTTGTCTGCAAGTCCTGAGGGGCTTGGTCCTGGAGGGACCCACCTCAGTTCAGACTCACTGTTGCGTTTGCTGCTCTGTAGCAGCACAAGCCAGCAGCCTGCGCGTGTGCCTCTCAGGACTTGGTCACAGCACCGTGGAGTGAAAGCTCTTGCTAGGAAGCGGTTTCCAGACTCCTACCGGCCGTGTGTTCTGACCCCCTTCAGTTCCCCGACGTTCCTAACTCTTGCCTGGTGCTCACTGCACTGTTCCGGGTGAGGTCTGGCCTTTGTCATACTCCTGCAGTTCCGCTCATACACATGGGTGTTTTCTGCCAGATCGCTGCAGGTGGTGGTAAGGTGCCCCTGGCTGGGAGGCAGCGAGGTGGAGGCAGGGAATTCCGCCCCAGCTGAAAACCTGGGTAGACACCTTCTCTGGCTGAGTTCCTTCCTCCTCCCCTGCTGCCCCCAGGAGTCCCCCAGAGCCAGCCCTCTATTACTTTTCTCTAATTGCAGTGCCCTACACGCAATAGCTAATCACGTGTCTTTTCAGCTTTGTTCTTAGGAAATTGTGCAAAGCAGCTCCTACTTGCAGCATACACTCGGGCATCTGATCTTAGGTTCCCAGAAACCTTAATGAGAGCAGTAAGACTCAGGCTGAGTCACTTACCATTGATCTGTGGGTCTGGAATAACTAGCGTGGTTGCCACATTATGAATAAGTTGCTAACTGCATGGCACATGTTGCTCCAAGGCAATGTAAGTTGATGAACGTAAATTTCAGGGTGGAAAAGGAGAAAGGTAATTCTGCTCACCTCCAGACAGCTCTTAACAACATGGTCAACAATGCCTTTTCTCTGCAGAGCACTGGGTTTCCCCTGAAGGGAGACTGTTCACATGTCTGTTTCATTGGGCAGTATTTTATGGACTCTTCCCATGTCGGTTGTGACATTTCTCTGGTGTGTCTCTTTGGGTGTCTTCATAGTTTTCCACATGTGAAATTTTATCTAGCCCGTAACCCATTTGGCTGTTTCCAGCTATTCATTATTAAGAACAGCTTTGTTGAACATAGTTTAATCTTTGTATTCTTTCTTCTTCTTTTTTAAATTTTCTTTGTATTTGAAAGAGATGCTTGGGGCCAGCGTCGTGGTTCACTTGGTAATCCGCCAGCATCACATATGGGTGCCAGGTTCTAGTCCCGGTTGCTCCTCTTCCGATCCAGCTCTCTGCTGTGCCCCAGAGGGCAGTGGAGGATGGCCCAAGTGCTTGGGCCTCTGCACCTGCATGGGAAACCAGGAGGGAGCACCTGGCTCCTAGCTTTGGATTGGCATAGCTCTGGCCCTGCGGCCATTTGGGGAGTGAACCAACAAAAGGAAGACCTTTCTCTGTGTCTCTCACTGTCTAACTCTGCCTGTCAAATTAAAAAAAAAAAAAAAAAGCTTTAGCTGGCTCCCCAAATGCCTGCAGCAGCCAGAGCTAGAGCAGGTGCAGACCAGGACCTTGAAGCTCCATCTCAGTCTCCCACAGCTGGGTGGCAGGGACCCAGGTACTTGATCCATCCCCTGCTGCGTCCTGGGATGCACATTGCAGCTGGATCAGAAGCAGAGTGCCTGGGGCACAAACCAGGCATTCATAAGGGATGTGAGGGTCCCAAGCAGTGACTTAACTGCTTGTCCAGACGCCCACTGCTGTTGTGTTCACTTCTGAAATTGTACGCTTTGGAATAAATATGACAAGGGAGTCACTGGCTTTAACTCTTAAATAAAAGGCCTCACATTGTTCAGGCTCTTGCAGCCTAGCATGTCATCACAGAAATCTGGCATCACATACGCAGCTGAGTTTAAGTGGAAGGTAGGTGAGAGGGTGTGGAGAAGTCAGACCTTGGCCGCCCTGTGCAAAGCTAACATACTGCCTCCACCTTGCCTTCTCCCTTTGCACAGGAAAACTTGAATCCCTTAATAGTTCTGAACTTATTTAAACGAATCCCGGCTGAAGATGTCCCTCTCCTCCTCATGAACCCAGAAGCTGGAAAGCCCTCTGACTTGATCCTCACCCGGCTCTTGGTGCCTCCCCTGTGTATCAGACCCTCTGTCGTGAGTGACCTGAAGTCCGGCACCAATGAAGATGATCTGACGATGAAATTGACAGAAATAATCTTTCTAAATGACGTCATTAAAAAGGTCAGTGCATCGTGTTTGCTTGTAAGTTTTCAGTAAATCTGTCCTGGAAGATGAGATTGACAGGCCTGTTTGTGTTCACCTTCTGCCCATATTAGCACCGGATCTCAGGCGCCAAGACGCAGATGATCATGGAGGACTGGGACTTCCTGCAGCTGCAGTGTGCGCTCTACATCAACAGCGAGCTCTCAGGCATCCCCCTCAACATGGCGCCCAAAAAGTGGACCAGAGGCTTCGTGCAGCGTCTCAAGGGCAAACAAGGCAGGTTGCTGACGAAGTGTCTGGAAGATAAGCCCACTGCCCTTGGTGCCCTGTGTGACGTGTGCTGAGGGCACCTCAGAAAGTATGTGGAAAGTGCAGTTAAAAGATAAGGTTACTTGGGGACAAAACACTCTGAAATCCATGCATATGCACGTGCTGTGGGCTTTGTGAAGACCCCACGCGTGTCTAGTTCATCAGTCAAAGGTCACGGGCCTCCTGCAGTGTTGCTGCTCATGGCACTCCCGCTGCACACAGCATGCCCTGGGGACTGATGATGACATACTCTCTCTGTTTAGGTCGGTTCAGAGGCAATCTGTCGGGAAAGAGAGTGGATTTTTCTGGCAGAACTGTCATCTCACCTGACCCCAACCTCCGGATTGATGAAGTAGCTGTCCCGGTTCATGTGGCCAAAATTCTAACTTTTCCTGAGAAGGTAAGGACCATTTGGCTTCCTGGTTCTCTGTTTAAATACGGTCTTTTTTTTTTTTTTTTTAAATGATTTAGTTTATTTCTTTGAAAGAGTTACAGAGAGAGGTCTTCAATCAGCTGGTTCACTCCCCAGATGGCTGCAATGGCTGGAGCTGCGCTGATCCAAAGCCAGGAGCCTCTTCTGGGTTTCCCACATGGGTGCAGGGGCCCAAGGACTTGGGCCATCCTCTGCTGCTTTCCCAGGCCACAACAGAGCTGGATTGCAAGAGGAGCAGCTGGGACTAGGACAGGCGCCCATATGGGATGCTGGAGCTTCAGGCCAGGGCTTTAACCAGCTGCGCCACAGCGCCACACCCTAAATACAATCTTTCATGTTCTGTTTTGATGTTCCATGTAGCATGCAGGGGAAGGGCCACGGTATCCCACCCAACCCACAGTTTGATGTTTGTTTATTTTTAAAGATTTATTTGAAAGAGTTACAGAGAGAGGGAGAGAGAGAGAGAGAGAAATTTTCCATCCACTGGTTTACTCCCCAAATGCCCCCAACAGCTGGCAGCTGGGGTTGGACCAGACCAAAGCCAGGAGCCAGGAACTCCATCTGGTTCTCACATGAGCCATCTGCTGCCTCCTAGGGTGCAAGCTAGCAGGAAACTGGATCGGAAGTAGAGATGGGACTCCAACCCAGACACTGACACGAGGTGCAGGTGTCCCAAGCAGCAGTGTTAAACTTTTTTTTTTTTAAACATTTATTTATTTGAAAGAGTTAACAGAGAGAGGGAGAAATATAAAGATCTTCCATCCACTCCCCAGATGGCTGCAACAACCGGAGCTGGGCCGTTCTGAAGCCAGGAGCCAGGAGCTTTTTCTGGTCTCCCACATGGGTGGCAGGGGCCCAAGTTTGAACCGTTCTCCACTGCTTTCTTAGGCACATTAGTAAGGAGCTAGATCAGAAATGGAGCAGCCGAGACTCAAACCAGCCAGTGTTGCAGGCAGCAGCTTTATGTTACAACACCAGCCCTTAAATATTTATTTTATTTATCTGAAAGGCAGAATTATAGAGAGAGGTATGTTCAATCTACTGGTTCACTCTACAAATGGCTACAGTGGCTGCGCCAGACTGAAGCCAGAAGTCAGGAGCTTTTTTCTGGTCTCCCACATGGGCTCAGGGGCCCAAGCACTTGGGCCATCTTCGGCTTTCCCAGGTGCATTAGCAAGCAGCTGGATCTGAATTGCAGCAGCCAGTACTTGAATTGGCACCTGGGATGCCTGCATGTTAGGCGGTGGCTTTACCAGCTACACCACAATGCTGGCCTTTTTTTTGTTTAATATTTATTTGGAAGGCAGAGTTACAGAGAGAGAAAGAGATCTTCCATCCACAGTTCACTTCCCCAAATGGCTGCAATGCCAGGGCTAGGACAGGCCAATGTCAAGAAGCTGAAATGGAGCAGCCAGGACTTGAACCGGTGCTCAAATGGAACGTTGGCATTGCAGGTGGCAGCTTAACTCACTGTGCTGCAATGCCTGGTCCTACAGCTTTTTTGTATTTTTTTTCTTTACAGTTAGGATCTAGAATACTTTTTATTTTATTATTTTTTAAAGATTATTTATTGTTTGAAAGGCAGAGTTATAGAGAGGCAGAGAGAGAGAGGTCTTCCATCCACTGGTTCACTCCCCAGATGGCTGCAATGGTGAGAGGTGGGCCAGTCTGAAGCCAGGAAAGTAAATGATAAATACCACTCCCAATTGATTTTCCTGGACTAGGTTCTTAAAACCTTAGGGTCACTGAGTCGAGGAGTTTGAGGCTTTTAAAAGCTATTACTGCATACCCAGAAGGGATTTATGTTGAGGCCTTGAAAACTGTGGGGCCAGGTAACACTAGCTCTCCCCTGAGATTGACAGTTAGCCTGGATCTGGTAGAGGTTGTCAGGTAGCCTCAGTTGACTCCCTAGTGACCCTGAGGTTTCTGTCTCTGAATTGGAATTCCCTGAGACTGTTGTCCCAAGAGATGGCAGCACACAGCCAGCGCAGGTCAGGGGCTGTGTGCTGCTGTTAAACTGTAAGACCTTAGCAGGCCCTGGCAAGTAATTTCAGATGAAGTTGCTACCTGTTTCTAGGACCACAGAATATTCTAGAACATCCATGTAGATCAGTGCATCCTACTCTGTTATGGACAGGGACAAACAAAGGCAAGAAAAGAAAAGGACTTGCGGGCTGACACTGTGGTGTAGTAGATAAAGTTGCCACCTGCAGTGCCGGCATCCCGTATGAGCACTGGTTCAAGACCTGGCTGCTCCACTTCCAATCCAGCTCCCTGCTAATGGCCTGAGAAAGCAGTGGAAGATGGCCCAAGTCCCTGGGCCCCTGGTGTCCACGTGGGAGACCCTGAAGAAGCTCGTGGCTCCTGGCTTCGGATTGGCCTACCTCCAACTGTTGCAGTCATTTGGGGAGTGAACTCGTGGATGGAGGACTTCTCTCTGTCTCTGCCTCTGCCCCTCTGTAACTTTGCCTTTCATTTAAATAAATAAAATCTTACATGCAAAAAAAAAAGAAAAGAACCTAGCCATATCCCCCAGCAAGTAAATGACAGTTGAGGCTGATCCCGCATTCCTGTTCTCCTCACACTCCAGGCTGTGGGCAGCAGGCTCCCCAGGGTGCCGCTCTTCTAAGACTCCACACCTGGGAGTCAAGACTAAGACGCAGCCCAGTGTGGCTTGCCAGCCTGAGTATCTTACCGTTCTTTCCTTCTGGTCCTGCAGGTGAATAAAGCAAACATCAATTTTTTGAGGAAACTGGTTCAAAATGGCCCTGAAGTGCACCCAGGAGCTAACTTCATTCAGCAGAGGCACATGCACATGAAAAGGTAACAGCTTCCCCGTCAGCCACCTCTTACCCGTCAGCCGCGCTGCGGCTCACCATTGCCAGCTCTGCCACAGACCGCAGTGCAGAGCGCCATGTGGCATTTTGGCTAGAGGAAGAGATGCGTAATGACAGTGAGCCAAGGCGTGTGCCTGCGCTGTGCTCCTTTGTACCCGGGCCTGAACTATTTTGCATGCAGATGGTCAGAATACCTTGAGACAACTGTGGGTCATTTTCTGCGCCACCTCGGCTCTCAGGTGTCCTCCAGTGTACTCTTCGCCCAGAGATGCACATTTCACCCACTCTGGGTTTTGTAGCGAGCTGAACTGACTGACCACCAGGGCCCTGTGGGGGAGCTGGTTTATTGCTGTATTTCTGCTTCTGAGAGAGTTTTCAGTAGTTCAGCAAATTGTAGTTCTCAAATTGGGATACATCTTGCGATCGGTCTGTCACGAGTGGACAAATAGTTTTCTTGGTGGCAAGTACAATAATGTTATGATTTAAAAGTAGAAACAAAGGAGGCATTTATCCTAGCAGTTCAGATGCCCGCACCTCAAATGAGAATGCTTGGGTTCCAGTCCCAGAACCACTTCAACTCCACCTTCCTGATAATGCACACCCCAGGATAAATACCACTCCCAGTTGATTTTCCTGGACTAGGTTCTTAAAACCTTAGGGTCACTGAGTTGAGGAGTTTGAGGCTTTTAAAAGCTATTACTGCATATCCAGAAGGGATAGCTCAAGTAAATACAATCTAGTTATGGGAATTTAGAGGGTGACAGAAGCCTTCCCTTTTGGAAACTTGATAGACACCCATGGCACACCTGGATTGAGTTCTGGCTCCGTGATTTGGCCCCAGCCCGGCCCCAGCCCAACCCCAGCCGTTACAGGCATTTGGAAAATGAACCAGTGGGTGGGGGCACTCTGTCTCTCTACCTCTCAAGTAAATGAATTCTTTTTTAAAAATTGGAAACCTCTAGAGCTGATGATATGTAGCAGGTAAAACTGCTTGGGAGTCAGCATCCCATATGGGCACTGGTTCATGTCCTGGCTGCTCTACTTCCAATCCAGCACCCACTTAGCGGCCTGGGAAAAACGGCAGAAGATTGCTCAAGTGTTTGGGCCCCTGCCACCCACGTGAAAGACCTGGATGAAGCTCTTGACCCCTGGCTTTGGCCCAGCCCGACCATGGCCATTGGTGGCCATCTGGGAAGTGAACCGGTGAATACAAGGTCTCCTTCTCTCTCTCTGTCTCTTTGTCTCTCTCTCTCTCTCTAACTCTGCTTTTCAAATAAATATTTTTAACAATAAAAGTGGAAGTGTCTTAGAGACAACGGCATCTATAAGATATGGCCGTTTTAGAGATTGAACCCTGGTCTGAAGGGGAGGACCTGCTAAGGAGACCTTGTTCTCAGTGATGGTGTTTGCTGTTGCACCTTCAGGTTTCTGAAGTACGGGAATCGTGAAAAGATGGCGCAGGAGCTCAAGTACGGGGACGTCGTGGAGAGACACCTGATAGACGGGGATGTGGTGCTCTTCAACCGGCAGCCCTCCCTGCACAAACTGAGCATCATGGCGCACCTGGTGAGCACCGCCTGCTGCCCCTCCTCCGTGTAGCGGCAATTGCCGGGCGCCTTCGTGCTTGTTTCTGGACTCCTCTAGTTAAAGTTGCCCTGCTTTTGGTCTCCTCCTCTCACTTCTTAGTTGGATTTAAACTTTTTAATTTCAGACTTCCCTCTAGGAATTCTAATATTGATAATGTCACGCTCACACACAACAGTAAAAACAGAGGGTCAAATTAAAAATCAGTGTGAAAGCAGCTAGCCTGATTTCACTTGCAAACAAAAATGTGTAATACATATGTGTGTGCACAAATTTATGTTAAAAATAGGTCTGGCAGAAAATTGACTTGTGATTTAAAGTTGCATGTTAACTAAGAAACTGAAATGCTTCAAAGGCTTTTCTTTGCAGTAGTCCTCCAAGTCCTTCAGCCATATTTTTTGGTGATTTAGCTTTATAACAGCAGTGGTTCCTTTTCCGAGAGATTGAAAATGGAAATGAGATGGCAATTTTAGTTTGCTAAATATTCATAAATGCTCTTCTGTGCAAAGTTGTTAAATCTGCCAGCCTTTGCAAGTAGTGTGTGAGCAGGCACTTTATGATCATTTTTTTCTGGATTCAGTTTTTGGGTAGTTCACATTGGCCTGTTAACAAGAGAAATTGCAGAAATCGTTAATGATTATGGGGTTGTGGTTATGGGAATCTAGAGCGTGACTTTGGGACATTTTACTATAGAAATTGCTTTTTGGAAATCTTCTAATGCACACAAAAGTAGAAAGAATGGTATGAACATATATTTTCCCATTGTCTATACACAGTGAATTTGCAAGCTTTTTGTCTCTTTTTCAATAATGTATTTTTTCCATGTATCTTCAGTTTGTAGCCATATGAATAACTTAGCTAACACCAGTGCCATAATCACACCTAAAAAAATAGCCACTTCTTGGTGTTCTGTAGTAACCAGTCCATATTCAGATTTCCCCAGCTGTCTAAAAAGTGTCTTTTTTTTTTCTTAAGATTTATTTATTTAGTTGAAAGAGAAAATTAGAGAGGGGGAGAGAGAGAGAGAGAGAGAACTTCTATCTACTCATTCACTTCCCAGAGGGCCACTGTGGCCATTTGGAGCCAGAAGCCAGGAGCTTCATCTGGGTCTTGGATTCAGGGGCCCAAGCACTTATGCCATCTTCCACTGCTCTCCCAGGCACATTAGAAGGGAGCTTAGAAGGGAGTGGCAGTGGAGCAGTTAGGACTTGAACTGGTACCTATATGGGATGCCAACGTTGCAGACGGTGGCTTAACCCACTGAACCACAACACCAGCCCCTCAGCAGTGTCTTTGCAGCTAATTTCTTTGACTCGGGATGCAAACATTTGTGTGCACATTACATTTAGCTGCTATGTGCCTTAAATCTCCACTGATCTTCAACCCTCTTTCTGAATGTTTTTTTTAAATTTATTTATTTGAGATGCAGAGTTAGAGAAGTCTTTCATCCACTGGTTCACTCCCCAAATGGCCACAATGGCCAGAGGTGGGCTGATCCAAAGCTTGGAGCCAGGAGCTTCTTCCTGGTTGCCCACATGGGTGCAGAGGCCCATGTACTTGAGCTGTGTTCCGCTGCTTTCCCAGCTGCATCAGAAGTGGAGCAACTGGGATTCAAACCGGCGCCCAGATGGGATGCAGGCGGACACTTAACCTACTACACTACGATGCTGGTCCCCCCTCTTTCTGAATTTCTGCATTATTGTTGAAGAAGCCAGGTCATTTGGAGGTTGTCTTGTTCTCAATCTGTGTGTGTGAGGGCTTAAGCAGCCCTTCATTCTTCCTTTCATTCCTGTTAGCTAGAAGTTGGCACTGAGGGGCACCCAGATTTATGTGCAACTTTTTGGCAAAAACAACTCAGATGGTGTCAGCTGCTTCCTTTTGTTGTATCAGAGGGTGCATATGTCTGGTTGTCCACTTTAGTTATGCCAAGAAGGTTACAGATGCTGATGTTTCGGTTGATGCCTCTTGCAAGGTTCCTCACCATTCTTTTCTGATAGTTTCATTCATTTATGATCATTACTTCCTTTGGAGCTGGAAAATGAAGCCGCAGTTTCTTTCTTTTCTTTTTCTTTCTCTGTCTCCTTCCTCCCTCTCTCCCTCTCTGTATTTATTTGAAACACAGAGTTACAGAGAGAGGTCTTCCATCTACTGGTTCACTCCCCAAATGGCTGCAACAGCCAGAGCTGGGCTGATCCGAAGCCAGGAGCCAGGAGCTTCTTCTGGGTCTCCCACGTGGGTGCAGGGGCCCAAGGACTTAGGCCATCTTCTATGCTTTCCCAGGCCATAGCAGAGAGCTAGATCAGAAGTGGAGCAGCCAGGACACCAACTGGCACCCATATGGGATGCCAGCACTGCAGGTGGTGGTTTTACCTGCTACGCCACAGCAACGGTCCCTTAGCATTTTTTACTCAGTCGCTGCTGTTAATCATCTTAATACTCAAAACTGTGATGTGCAGGGGAAAAGGACAGTAGGATCTCTTCAAGTTGGCTCATGCTGGTGTTTGCCTGATAGTGTTAAATCCACCGCTTTGTATGATGGGATAAAGCATCATGAATGAGTCCACAAATGATCTCTGTCACTTGACAGAATACACTAGACATTTGCTTCCTTAATGTGAAGTGTCCTGTTCTCCAGGCCATTTTCTGCTGATTTCACATGGAGAGCCCTTTGGATAAATGCCTGAATCCTTTTCCTGCCTTGCTTTGCTCTGCTCTCCACAGGCCAGGGTCAAGCCCCATCGGACGTTCAGGTTCAACGAGTGTGTCTGCACGCCTTACAACGCGGACTTCGATGGCGACGAGATGAATCTTCACTTGCCTCAGACGGAGGAGGCCAAAGCAGAGGCCCTCGTTCTCATGGGGGTGCGTAGGGCTTTGTGGCCCCGCTATTAGGTCACAGCTCCTGGAAGAAGGGGAAGGGGAGCAGGTGCTATCTGAAAACACTCCCCAACAGAGCCAGGAAGCCACTCTGGATTCCTAGCCGTATGCCACTAACTGCCTGTGTTATTTCATCTGTTTCCATTGATTGCTTTGGAGCCTTTGAATAGCCTCCCTTGGAAGTTATGGCATATAAGTGACGTGGTGTCCGTCACGGTGCTTACTATGGGGAGAGGGGGTTTTCTAATCTAGGATACGGATTCCTGGGAGGAAATACGTAATAGGATATGAGGACTGGCTATGAAAAGGCAAGTGTGTGGCAGTATGAGCATTGGGTGTCGCAGGGAAGGAAGAATGTGCTACGTAAGTAGATTTTCCATCAGCCGAAGGTTGTTTCAGCATCAGTGCGTTTCACTGAACATTCTGAATAGAAACGTCCCTAAAGTGCCTTCCTTCCCAGTTGTCTTAAGGACACGCCAAACCTGCTCATTTTACCACCATTTCATTGCAAGCAGTCAGGGAGTGCCTATGATAGACGACAGGACTTCAGGTGCCTGCCCTTGGGGAGCTTCTAGTGAGCTCCAGCTCTGGGCCCGTTTGTGCTCTTCTCCCCTGAACCAGCCAGAGCCCAGTTGTGGGCAGTACTTGCCAGGTAGGGCTCCGCCCTCCCAAACTTAAGGGCCCCAGCTGTTGAGTGTTTACACCTTTAAACTTTATTTTTCTCAGTATCTCAGCTTCCTCATGAACTGGTTGTCGTCCAGTTGTAAGTGTTCCCACCTCCAAAACCACCCCTTACTTACCATTTCAGGTGTGATGTTGCTAATCTAGTGGTTCAGGCTTTTTGTATTCTCTGCATAGTTTTGGAATTTTAACTTAATCTATGCTTTTAGGGTTTTTTTTTTTTTCCTATAATTAACATTTTTATAACAAAAAGCCATGTTGAGGATGTAGCTATGAGTTTACAGTCAACCAGTGCTACCAGCCATGCCATGGACATTTTGTTAGAACAGCATGTTTCATGGGTTAAAAATGACAACAGTGAAAGAGGATAGTGAGGTGGACTAGTTGCTGTCTGGACAACTGCCTTCTGAACATTTTGAATGTGTATGTCACATAGTTTAGGAAAGTTTCTCTCTGACCCAGCAGTTCTAGCTTGGGTTTGGTCCTGGATTACCCAGAGTACACAGATCTCAGCCTCGCGCAGGGGATAGGATCTCTGCTCCTATCCCTAGATCACATGCCACTCTAGCTCAGGGCAGAAGGGAGTAACCTGCAAGTGTGGAATAGAGGCACCTCGGGCTCAGCGGCTGTCTCCACCCTGGCTGCAGAATCCCTGCTCTGGGTGGTGTTCAGAGGTGGGCTGTATCATACTTGCTTCCGAGGATCAGAGCCCAGCAGACCTGAAAGAGTCCGTGAGCGCCTCCAAGCCAAGATTAGAGCAAATGTACTCTGAGACACAGAGCCCCTTGACATACGTTGACTTTGCCCAGTGGTGCATCCTAAATGTAAAAATTCGGTTGTTGGCTGTTGATAGCATGCAATGTCTTGAGAATTTCAGCGGTTCTGCCATCATTGTGACATCAGAGATAAAACCACAGTCCTCACATTCAGAGAACTGAATTACTTATCTTAGAGAGAGAGAGATTTCCCGTCCATTGGTCATTACCCCGATGCCCACAAAAGGAGGGGCTAGGCCAAAGCCAGGAGCCAGTAACTCCATCCAGGTCTCCCACATGGGTGGCAGAAAAGCAAGCACTTGGGCCATCATCTGCTGCCTCCCCAGTACGTTAGAAGGAAGCTGAAGGCCGGCGCTGCGGCTCACTAGGCTAATCCTCTGCCTAGCGGCGCCGGCACACCGGGTTCTAGTCCCGGTTGGGGCACCGGATTCTGTCCCGGTTGCCCCTCTTCCAGGCCAGCTCTCTGCTGTGGCCCGGGAGTGCAGTGGAGGATGGCCCAAGTGCTTGGGCCCTGCACCCCATGGGAGACCAGGGTAAGTACCTGGCTCCTGCCATCGGATCAGCGCAGTGCGCTGGCTGCAGCGGCCATTGGAGGGTGAACCAATGGCAAAGGAAGACCTTTCTCTCTCTCTCACTGACTGTCCACTTCTCAAAAAAAAAAAAAAAAAAAAAAAAAAAAAAAAGAAGAAGAAGGAAGCTGAATCAGAAGCTGAGGCAGGACTTGATCCCAGGCACTACAACATAGAATGCAGGTGGCCCAACCTACTGCACCACAATGCCTGCCCCCCCCCCTTTCCTTTTAAAGATTTATTTATTTAGAAGGCAGGGTTACAGAGGGGGAGAAAGGTCTTCCATCCGCTAGATCACTACTCAAATGGCCGCAATGGATGGGCTGGGCCAGACTGAAGCTAGGATCTTTCAGGTCTCCCATGCATGGGCCCAGGGACTTGGGCCATCCTCCGCTGCTTTCCCAGGCACATTAGCAGGGAGCTGGGTCAGTAGTGGAACAGCTGGGACTCCAACCAGCACCTACCCAGGATGCCGGCACTGTAGGCCCCATCCTAACCATACCTATACCAACTATACCTATAACCAACTATACCACAGTGACAGCCCTGCCTCTCCCTATTTTGAAAGAGAAACCTCTCTGTTGGTTCACTCCTCAAATGCTCACAATAGCCAAGGCTGGGCAAAACCACTGCCAGGAGCTGAGAACCCAGTCCACATCTCCCATGTGATTGGCTGGGACCCAAGTACTTGGACCATTAACTCTGTCTCCCAGGGTGCCCATCAAGAAGCTGAAATCAGAAATTGAGCCAGAACCTGAACAGAAGCACTCTCATGAGGGATACATGTATCCCGAGTGACATCTTTGTTTTATTATATTTATTTATTTATTTGAAAAACCCAGTGACAGACCTTCAACCACTGGCTCACTCCTCAAATAGCCACAGTGGCTGGGACTGAGCCAGGCCAAAGCTAGGAGCTATGAACTCCATATGGGTCGTCTAGATAAGTGGTAGGGGTTCGAGCACCCACGTGGCTGCAGGGGCCCATGCACTTGGGTCATCTACTGCTTTCCCAGGCCATAACAGAGAGCTGGATCAGAAGTGGAGCAGCCGAGACTCAAACCGGCGCCCAACAGGATGCCAACACTATAGGTGGCAGCTTTACCTGCTACGGCACAGTGCTGGTCCCTCTTGACAGAATTCTTGAACAGCAACATGAGATGTTTCATTTTTGTGTTGGTAGGAACCTCTGAGGTCAGTCTTGCTGGTGTTTTTTTTTTTTTTTCCCCTCACCTTGACATTGAAGGAACTGGTAGGTGGCGACACAGCTGGGATTTAAGACCCTGGCTCCTATTCTCAGCTTCATCTTCCTGCTGCTTGTTCTTTGTTCATAACAATTCAAAAACTGTGATGCAGGTTGTAGGACTGCACCCTGCATCTCAGAATAGCTAACTTACTGTGATTATTTTTCCTTCAGACTAAAGCAAATCTTGTAACCCCAAGGAATGGTGAGCCCCTGATAGCTGCTATTCAGGATTTCCTAACAGGTGGGTCTGTGAAATTCACTTAAAAGGTGACTTCTGACTGGAACACAGGGATTCTTATTCAGTGATTCATGGGATGGCTTGAAAAGGTGTTTAATTGCCTGTGCTTAATTCTTCTTGCTTACTGAGTTTGAGCATGAGCTATTGGATATCTTGTATTGGCTGGTTATTCATTGGTTCAGCAAGTTCCTGCTGAGCTCTTCCCAGGGACTGGCCGTTTGTAGGCCTAGTATTCACCTCGAATGTGGCCATTGGTTTGGGGATATAGCAGTGAGTCCAACAAAGAGGCTGTGCTGTGGAGCCTGGGCTCTCGGAGGGAGCTCCATGAGCAGCTGTGTGTTGTAGCTCGCCCCGTTAGTGGTCCACCTTCGTTTTGGAACAGAAACCTTGGGTTTCCTCATGTTCTCATTCATTTCCTTAGTTTGGTGGTGTTCTTAACCTTCGCAGGTGCCTACCTCCTTACTCTCAAAGACACTTTCTTCGACCGAGCCAAGGCTTGCCAGATCATTGCCTCCATACTGGTCGGCAAAGATGAGAAAATCAAAGTCCGCCTCCCACCCCCTACAATATTAAAGGTACGTGTGTGCCCAAGGGTCCTTTTGTGTTTGCAGTGAGTGTGTGCGTGCTGCGGGGAGGGTGCCAGGCTGGAGTCTTGTGCACCAGGCCTGGGCCATCTGCTGTTAATTATGTGACCATATGTAATTGATTGTCTGGTTTTCTGTCCTCCTGCAGCCTGTCACCCTGTGGACTGGCAAGCAGATCTTCAGTGTTATCCTGAGGCCTAGTGACGACAGCCCAGTGAGGGCCAATCTGCGGACCAAGGGCAAGCAGTACTGTGGCAAAGGAGAAGACCTGTGTGTCAATGACTCCTGTGAGTGAGGGCGCCTGGGCGGGGAGGACAATTGCGGCCCTGGGGACTTCGTTCAGCCACCAGATCCACGCTTTTCTGAGGCCTTAGGCAGGGAGTTTGTTCTTCAGAGTCGTAACTGGTGTTTCTCACCTGAGTTCCTCTGGACACGTGAAACAGTGATTAGAATGTTCTTCTCCAAATGTGTTTTGTCATAAGGGACTAGTTTTTTGTCAATGCAATTTGTCTTTTATTTTTCCTTTTTTTTATTTTTATTTTTTTCCCCTGAACAGGGTCTCATTACTTAAGGGTATCATTTATTTTTTTGTGTCGAGAAATGTGTCTGTGGTCTTAGAGTGTATTTGCCTGTCTCAGCTGGTCTGCAGGGTTTTGATGACTAGAATATCAGGGAGAGTATTTCAGTGTAAGTCAGCTGAGCCAGCCCGAGCCAGGGCAACCCCCGGGTGGTCCTCAGCACCGTGGTGTCCAGCAGAGCACTCTGATGTACTCGGCGTGCACGCTGCCGAGCACCCACCACACCACAAGCCAGCATTCCCAGCAGGCCACTCTGGGCGGCACTGCCCTAACACGGACTTGGCCGGCCGGCTTGGAGACTAGAATGGACCTGCAGGATTCTGTACTGAAGAACTGAAGGTCAGGCTTTCTACTGTCTCCCAATGATGAGTTAATGTTTTAAAGGACACTCATCTCCTCAGGTTTATTTCTTTGCAAATTCACTGTTCAAGGCTGGGCATTGTGACACAGTAGGTTAAGCTGCTGCCTGGGACACCCGCCTCCTGTACCAAAGTGCCTGGGATCAAGTCCCAAGCCTCTGCCTTGGATCCAGCTTCCTGCTAATGCACACTTTGGAAGACAGCAAGTAATGGCTCAAGCACTTATGTCTCTGCCCCCCCAAAATGGGAGGGTCGAATGGAGTTCCTGGCTCCTGGCTTAGCCTCGGCTGCTGCAGGCACTGGGGAATGAACTGGTGGGTAAAAGAAGTTCTGTCTCTCTCTGCCATTTTACCTTTCAAGTAAATAAAAATAAATATTTTTAGAAAATAAAATGCATTTGTGTATTTTAGGTTCCTATTTAGGATATATGAGATTCTTTTAGGTTATTTTTCTAGATATGAATTTCATTTTTAAGTATTTATTTTTCTTATTTATTTGAAAGGCAGAAAAAAATGAGAGACAGATCTTCCATCTTCTGATTCATTCATCAGCTGCCTGCAACAGCCAAGGCTGGACCAGTTGAAACCAAAAGTCAGAACTCAGTCCAGAACTCCCATGTGGGTGGCTGGGACCAAAGTACTTGAGCCATCATTTGGTGCCTCCTGGGGTGCACATTAGTGGAAAGCTAGAACAGGAAGTGGAACCAGAAGTTGAACCCAACACTCCAGTTAAGACATGTGAGCATCCAGGCAGCATCTTAGCAGCTGTTCCAAACAACTGCCACTATTCGGTTTTCTTGGAGGCTTTTAATGGGGTGCCACTGCTTTTGAGTATCTCAGGTAAATAGCAAATGGCTTTACATTCTTACAAAGCACTTACCAAATTTCATCTGATACTCCAAATACCTGTAAGTGTGACGTAAGAGTGACAAGTGCTTGACGTTGTCATCCACAGTCCCAGATGAGAGGGTGGAGGTCAAGTAGTTTTCAGGATTAGAACTATAATTAACTGAGGCTCACCTGCTCTCTTCAGTTTATCTTTGTTCCCTCAATTAAGAAAGCTCTTGAGGAGAATTTCTGGGGGCCAGCATCTTGGCATAGCAGGTTGAGCCTCTGCCTGCAAGGCTGGTCTTCCGTGTGGGCTCCAGCTTAAGTCCCGGCTGCTCCACTTCAGAGCCAGCTCCCTGCTGATGTGCCTGGGAAAAAGTGAAAGAGGGCCCAAGTTCTTGGGCCCCTGCCATCCATGTGAGCGACCCAGATGAGGCTCCAAGCTCCTGCTTCAGCTTGGCCCACTCCTAGCCATTGCTGCCATTTTAAAAGTGGACAGTGGATGGAAAATCTCTCTCTCTCTGTCTCTGTAACCCTTGCTTTCAAATAAGAAAATAAATCTTTAAAGATGTTTTTCTGTTTCTCAGCTGCCTCAAGTTCATTTTAGAATGTGGCAAAGGGATATATGTCTGTCTAAACAGTAATCGTTGCTGTCCTCCAGATGTCACCATCCAAAACAGTGAATTGATGAGTGGGAGCATGGACAAAGGCACTTTGGGTTCTGGATCCAAGAACAACATTTTCTACATCTTGCTGCGAGACTGGGGACAGAATGAAGCTGCTGATGCGATGTCTCGGCTGGCCAGGCTGGCTCCTGTCTACCTGTGTAAGTGTCCTAGCATCCTTGTGTCACTGCTGTATGGTGGGTGTAATCTTGTATTGTCCCTAAATTATCAATTAAACCTATCATAGGTATTGGGTGCTATCCATGGTTACAGCATCCACTGGGGGTCTTAAACACATCTCATCAGATGAGGGACGCTGCTATTTAGTATGCATTATAGTAGGTTTATGAGAGTGCTTCAGAGAGTTTATGGAAAACAAAATTGAGGGCCCGCGCTGTGACATAGCAGGTAAAGCTGCCACCTGCAGTGCTGGCATCCCATGTGGGTGCTGGTTGAGTCCTGGCTGCTCTGCTTCTGATCCAGCTCTGCCATGGCCTGGGAAGCAGAAGAGGATGGCCCAGTTCCTTGGGCCCCTGCACTCTCATGGAGACCAGGAAGAAGCTCCTCGCTTTGGATGAGCCCAGCTCCAGCCATTGCAGCCATTTGGGGAGTGAATCAGCGGATGGAAGATCTTTCTCTGTCTCTTTGCCTCTGCTTCTCTGTGGCTCTCTGCCTTTCAAATAAATAAATCTTTAATTAAAAAAAAAAGCAATTGAAAGATGAGTTTATTTTGGTGCAAAAAATATTTTAAAGATTTATTTTATTTATTTGAAAGTCAGAATTATACACAGAGAGAAGGAGAGGCAGAGAGAGAGAGAATGTCTTCTGTCTGCTGGTTCACTCCCCAAATGGTCGCAACTGCCAGAGCTGGACTGATCCGGAGCCAGGAGCCAGGAGCTTCCTTCAGGTCCCACACATGGGTGCAGGGGCCCAAGCACTTGGGCCATCTTCTACTGCTTTCCCAGGCCATAACAGAGAGCTGGATCTGAAGTGGAACAGCCGAGTTTTGAACCAGCTCCCATATGAGATGTCTACACTGCAGGCGGTGGCATTACCCGCTACGCCACAATGCTGGCCCCTGCATTTTTTTTATTATACACAATTTCCATGAATTCTTTGAAGACCGCATCATAAATCATATCTGATATGTTTACTGAGTTAACATATGTGGCGCTCTCCTCTTGTGCTACCTGCCTACTCTTAAATAGCAAACCGCGGCTTCTCCATTGGGATTGGTGACGTCACACCTGGCCAGGGACTGCTGAAGGCCAAGTATGAGTTGTTGAATGCTGGCTACAAGAAATGTGATGAGTACATCGAAGCCCTGAACACCGGCAAGCTGCAGCAGCAGCCTGGCTGCACAGCCGAGGAGACCCTGGAGGTAAGTGACTGAAAGGGTGCCCACTGGGTTGTACCATAACCGCAAAGAGCAGGTGGCAAAGGAGAGCGAAGAAAAGGCAGCGGTGTTCCTCGCAGCTCTGCCCTGGGTCGTGTGTGTTCTCGGCTGGTCACTGAGGGCAGGGCCTCTGGCTAGACGCTGTAGTCCCTTCCCAGCTCTCCTGTTCCATCCGCTCATCTGCCACGTGGGGCTGCTCTTGTGCCGACGTCACACCCAGGCCCCTCGTGTAACGCTGCTAATGCTCCTGCCCTTCCCATTTTTAGCATCCTTCAAATAGAAATTGGTACCACAGTCTTGGAATAGATGCGCTTTGCTTGGCTAGAGAAGAGGGGGAATTCATGTCAGATATCACATACCCAACCACTGCTCCCTCACATTGGAAACCCACTTAACTGAGCTCGACCCGCATAGGTCAGCGTGGGAACCACCACCAGCTGCCGAGAGTCTCCAGGTCTCAGGCAGCCACATCAGCAGTAGGAACTCACCAAGCTTTTGCCTGGCTCTTTTGTGTGTCCCCCACAGCCTGTACTCTGAGTGGTAACTCCCCGAAGTATGAAAGAAAGCTCTTTAATGCATGAAGAAGTTTTCTGATGAAATCGATGTTTGAAGCAGGGAAGGGTCAGGATTGTGTGAGGTTTTCACTGTTAACTCAGTTATTGATCTCACCATGTCCTAAGGAGAGAGAAATAGATGTTTCTCACTCATACCTACCTAGCAAATAGCCTGAGGCCCTGGCAGGGCCGGGGTTTGAAGAGCCTGTGACTGACGGATGGAATGTCTCGTGTTGTGAGTTGAAGAGTGACATTCTGTGGACAAACACATGGGCCAGGATGTTCCAGAATAGTCGCCTCATCACTGCTCAGCTTGTGGCAATCCACATGTGTACTTAACCAGAAAAGGGAGACAAGTTACAGGTAGCACAGGCAGTTCTCTGTTACGTACTCCATATTGTCTATTTTGTGTTTTTAAAGATTTATGTATTTATTTGAAAGGCAGAGTTACAAAGAGGCAGAGGCAGAGAGAGGTCGACCATCTGCTGGCTCATTCCTCAGATGGCCACAACGGCCCGAGCTGTGCCATTCCGAAGCTAGGAGCCTGGAGCCTCTTTGGGTCTCCCACATGGATACAGGGGCCCAAAGACTTGGGCCATCTTCCACTGCTTTCCCAGGCACATTAGCAGGGAGCTAGATTGGAAATGGAGCAGCCAAAACTTGAATCGGCGCCCTTATGGGATGCTGGCATTTCAGGCGGCGGCTGTGCCCACTACACCCCAGCGCCGGCCTCTCCATGTTGTCTTATGTTTATTTACACAGGGATGGGGGTGTGTGTACACGTAGCTGTATATATGCACATACATTGCTGCATACAGTACTGTAAACAGAGCTAGTGCATTCTACGTTGTAGACCATTTAAAGGAATTTTCAGGTGTTTGTTACACATTGATGGTAGAACCTTTGGAGGATGCAGCTGTACAGCTGATCATGGTGGTCCTCGAATGCTCTGCAGCCTTCACTGATGGGAAATCAGACAACTTGCTTCCAATTTTGAGATGTCTGTAAATGTCGGGTGGAAGATCTGTCATCTGCAGAGCGCGGGAGGACCACCCACCACCGATCACCTTTTCTTCCACCAGGCTCTGATCCTGAAGGAGCTGTCTGTGATCCGTGACCACGCCGGCAGTGCCTGCCTCCGGGAGCTGGACAAGAGCAACAGCCCCCTCACCATGGCTCTCTGTGGTTCCAAAGGTGTGCCCCTTGCCTGCTGGCAGTGTGTGCTGCACGCAGGCCAGCTGGTTTGGTTCAGAAAATGTGACAGTCACAACTTCAGACAGGCACTTTATTTCTTATTTACCTTTTCTCTTTCATTTTTATTTATTTAAAAGGCAGAGAGGGACAGGGACATAGAGCTCCCATCTGCTGGTTCCCTCCCCAAATGTCTGCAACAGCTGGGACCAGGCCAGGCTAAATACATGAACAGGGAACTCAGTCCAGGTCTCCCATGTGAGTGCAGGGACCCAGGTTCTTGGGCCATCACCTGCTGCCTGCCAGGGTGTGCATTAGTGGGAAGCTGGAATCTGAAACAGCCTGGCCTCAAGCCCAGTCACTCCAGTATGGGTTGTGGGTATCCCAAGCAGCATCCCAACTACTGTGTCTACACAGTAGTGCTCTCCCCCCCATTTCTGTCTCAAAAACAGTTTAAATAAATGTTTATGAAGTGAAATCCAAGACTTTTTGAATAATATACTTAGTGTTGTAACAAAACTCTTTAATTTCAGTTACCCAGGCCCTTAAAGCGTTGGGTTTCATGGTACTGCATTCACATGTAGTCTCTGTGCTGCTTCTTCTGTACATTTTTTAGTGGAATGAAATCTAGTCTCTTTAGTTTTGTTTCCTACTTCCTGTTCCTGGCACATACCCCAGGCTTTCCAGTTTCTGCCTTCGCTTCTGCTCTTCTATCCACTTCGGAACTCCCCCAACCCTCTTGGTGTGCAGATTACTGTGTCCTCCAGTGCAGTCACTGCTGTTGCCTTGAATGCTCACCTGGCTCTTCCCCAGCCTTTCCTGCAGCTCAGACGTGCCGCAGAGTCCTCGCTCAGCTATGCCGTTACTGACGGCTCCACCCTGTCTTCATCCTGGTGCTGTCTTTCTCTATCCCTGAACTCAGCTTGTTGAGAATAAGCCTGTGCCTGTTGTATCCCTCCCTGCTGCTCGTACTTCAGTTAGTGCTGTTTCGATACGTGAATGTTGTGTTGCTGACCTGTTTCCCCAGGTTCCTTCATTAACATATCACAGATGATCGCCTGTGTGGGGCAGCAAGCCATCAGCGGCTCCCGAGTGCCAGATGGCTTTGAAAACAGGTCCTTGCCTCACTTTGAAAAACACTCAAAGGTAAGACCCTTGAAGGCTTGTTCATAAGTTGTCCTCTAGGGGAGACAGACTTGTGTAGATCAAAGGCCATTGGCCATTTCATGTGCTGTTTTGTATGTGTGTTTTCACCATCTTATTGAGATGTACTTAATATCATAATATTCACTGTTTATAAAATATGGAGTTCAGTGACTACATTCAGAGGTGTGCAGCCATCACTGCCCCACCATGAGCCCTGTGACCCTTGGCACTGCAGCTTAAAATCTGAGGGTGGGCAGGCCTGGCCCCTGGGAGGGATGTCTTGAGGTGAGTCGTTCCCTAGGAAATGGACAGATTGTCTCCTGAGGTCCTTGGTTGCTCAGCTGCTGCCTTAGACAATGCAGCCCAAAGTTGGCTTTTCCCTCTCCTGAGCCAGCTGTCCACCCTTGGCACCAGCGCCAGCTCTGGCTTGGAGCTCACCTCGTGTCTGGGAAGGATTGTCCAGGTTATTTCTCCTGCAAAAGGCATATATAGCCTGCTGCTGCTTTGTGAGTGTACGTGGGCCAGGTATTTAAAGTCCAGAGGTGGGGCTTTCTCTGGTTTGAATGAGTTTTAGAATTATGGACCTTGAACTCTTTCTGTTTGATTTTTTTTTTCTTTTTTTTCCACTTCTCTGTAGCTCCCAGCTGCCAAGGGCTTTGTGGCTAATAGCTTTTATTCCGGTTTAACTCCCACTGAGTTTTTCTTCCACACAATGGCTGGTCGGGAAGGTCTAGTCGACACAGCCGTGAAGACAGCAGAAACGGGATATATGCAGGTAATGAGAAGAAACGAGGGCCATTGGCGAGCGAGCAAGACAGGGCTCTACCAGATTTTACTGTTGAGTGTGTGCATGTTTTGTGCATGAGCTATAATTTACCTATCTTGGTATTTAAAGGGAAAAACTTAGAAACAGATGCCATGGAAGTAATGACCAGGGGGAGGTGATATGTTCCAAATCATGCTGCGTACCTGGCCTTGTCGAGGCCGAGCCCAAGCCACACATTGCAGAGCTCCCCTGGAGGAGACCGTGGACTGCATGTCGTGGAACCTCACTGAGCCCGTATCTTCCAGCACACACAGTGGGGGTGGTAACCGAGGGGATCCTGCCTCCCACTTTGTGGCTGTGTATGTTACTCGTTACTCTATCATGCTCACCGGCTCCACGAACCTAGGCCAGCGCCCATCAGAGGGCTGGGACACAGAGCAAAGCTGTGTCAGCCATGAGTGTGACTCCAGCATGGTTTGCTCCCTGGTACAGGGCTGCCCTTTGCCTTTCACACTTCCCACATCTACCCCTAGTGGCAGAGGACTGCAAGTGTGACCTTATTGTACTCACAGACCACACTGTGGGATTTCTTTTCAATCTCCAATGATTTTTTTTTAATTTACTTATTTATTTGAAAGAGTTAGAGAGAAAGGGAGAGGCAGAGGGAGATGGAGAGAGAGGTATTCCATCCGCTGGTTCACTCCTCAGATGGCCTCAGCGGTTGTAGCTGCGCAGATCCGAAGCTTAGAGCTTCCTCCGGGTCTTCCCACGTGGGAACAGGAGCCCAAGGGCTTGGGCCATCTCTACTGCTTTCCTAGGCCATAGTAGAGAGCTGGATTGGAAGTGGAGCAGCTGGGATTGAACTGGTGCCCATAGGGATGCTGGCACTGCAGGTGGCAGCTTTACCCACTGTGCCACAGCACCAGCCCCGACAATGGTCTTTCTACTCCGTCCTCCATAACTTTACTATTTGTTGGGAAAAAAAAAACTGTGAAAAAAAATACTTTAAACTGCTTACGACGCCAGGTTGCTGGGCCAGGAGCCTGCTGTGGCCGTGTGTCCTCTCCCCGTCATGCACCCTGGGAAACGGGGATGAGTGCAGCAGAGATGCGAGCGAGGGCCAGGGAATGGAGCCGTCAGCGGGCTCCTGCTCCCACAGCCCCTTCTGTGCCTCGTGCGTTGGTATCGGATGCGTTTCATCATGTCTCGATGCGAAATTGCCCTTCAGTTCTGGAGCGCGCTGCTTTTGTCAGAAGCGTGACATGCTGTGAAATGCTTTTACTGCTCTTGCCGTGATGTGTTTTGACTTTGTTTTTCGTCTGTACCTTTTTGAAGTAGACAGTGTGACTTTCCCAGAGCAGTGTGTTAACCTAGAACAAATTAGTTTTGGCATGAGGGATTTTTGTTTTTTTAAATTGCCTGGAGGAAGATTTCCTCTGTCTTTAATCCACCAAGCCGCCACGACATTACTGGCTGGGGCACTGTGCTGGTGCAAGGTGCCCTGAGCAGCAGATCCGAGGGCTGGCTGCTGCCTGCTGGGTCAGACACAGAGCAGTCCCTGTTCCCTCCTTCCCACTAACCCAGAAGAGGGCCCCCACCTGATCTGCTGTAATTCATACTGAACTCTACAGGGGTCCTGGCTCAAGCTGTGTTTGGAAATGCAAAGCTCTTGCATTAATTTATACCTTGGGGAGAAAGAAAGGGAAGGCAGAACAGCCTAGGAAAACAGTTTTTGTTTGCAGAGTCCTTGTGGGTGATGGGGTTTAAATTGCATGTGTTCTAAAAACCACGCATGCGCCAGAGGTTGGAGCATGTTCTAAATCCCACTGCACAGGCTGGTGAGGCATGCTTGGTCTTTCTGTTCTTGGGGTGAGGGGACTCTTTTCAAGGGATTTCAAATGAAATATTTTTATGTGATTAAAGTGCGTGTGACCTTGAAGCTTAGAATCGCAAATCTCATCCTCTGCACATGTGACTGGTCTTCTCAAAGCAGCTGAGCTTTCTCCTCCCTTCCTTTAGAGAAGGCTTGTGAAGTCTCTTGAAGACCTATGCTCCCAGTATGATCTGACGGTCCGAAGCTCTACCGGCGATATCATCCAGTTCATTTACGGGGGAGACGGCTTAGACCCTGCAGCCATGGAGGGAAAAGATGAACCTTTGGAGTTTAAAAGGGTCCTGGACAACATCAGAGTAAGATTTAGCAGTATATCTGGGGCAGGAGTGCTTCTGAATTTAAATATATATGCCCTTTGACCCAACAGTTCCACTTAAGAAGAGTTGGCCCTGGTGGGGAGGAGGGTATCCAGCCCATGGGCGACGTTCAGGCCCAGGAAACCATCTGTTCTGGCCCTACCAAGGCAACCACAGGTGGGACTTGAAATTCAATAAATGTATAGCAAGTCAATTAAAAAAAAATATTTATTTGAAAGGCAGTTTCAGAGAGAAAGCTCTTCCATGCACTGGTTGACTCCTTAAGTGGCTGCAACAGCCAGGGCTAGGCCAGGCCAAAGCCAGGAGCCTGAAACTCCATCTGGGTCCCCATCTAGGTGCCAGAGACCCAAGCACTTGGGCCATCTTCTGCTGCTTTCCCAGGCATATTAACAGGGAACTGGATCAGAATTGGAGCCTCTGGGACTTGAAGTGGCACTCATACAGGATAGGGGAATTTCAGGCAGCGGCTTAACCCTTTGTGCCACAATGCTAACCCCAGTAGCAGTCATGCAAATAATGTTATAAATACATAAATGGTCCCTGGCAGAAAAAAGGTTCCCCACCCCTGCCGTACAGAAATGGACCAGATGTTCCTAGGATATATTTTCCAAGTTGTTAACAAGAGAGGCAAACCATCAGAAGGGCAGGTCGGACATGCAGTGATCCATCCTTACAACAGAATAATGTGCAGCCATTAAGATATTGGAAAGATGTTTGCATCCTACAGTGAAGTACCTGGGCTTGGTTTCTGGTTCTGGCTGCTTACTCCATCTTCCTGCCATTGCAGATCCTGGGAGGCAGCGCTGATTGCTCAGGTAGTTGGATTCCTGCCACCCACAAAGGGGACCTGGGTTGAGTTCTGGGCTCCCACCTTCAGACTGGCCCAGTGCAGGGCATTGCAAGCTTCTGGGGGAGTGAACTCATGGACATGAAAACTCTTGTCTCTCAAATAAATGAAAATCGAAGAAACAAGTGTTGTAGCACACTGTGTTAAGCCCTCACTTGGGGCACCCACATCCCATATTGTAGTGCCTGGTTCAGGTCCCGTGTGTTCCACCTCCGATCCAGCTTCCTGCTAACGTGCTTCCTGGGAGGCAGCAGATGATGGCTCAGTTACTTGGGTCCTTGCCACCCATGTGGATGACCCAGGTGGAATTCTAGGCTCCTGGCTTCCACCTGGCCCAGCCCCAGCTTTCGTGGCATTTGGGGAGCAAATCAGTGGATGGGAGATCTCTCTGTTTCTCTCTTACTCTGCCTTTCAAATAAATAGGAATAACCATTAATTGAAATTTTAATGTATGAGGGAAATCCCATGAGCTTGAGAGAGAGATTATTTTCACCCTTGAAATGTTTGGGCTGTTTTAAACAACTGTGGAGATGCACATTTGGGGTGCTGTGAGGGTTGGGAGTAATGGAGACCTCCTGAAGAGCCTGGAAGTCCGTGGCGGGGTGCATTGTCAGGGTCTGGTCACCACTGTTCTGAAGGCAAAATCGCCGATTACTGAAACGCACTCTGGGTAAGGTCGTTTACCGCTGGTACCTAGTAGCACCCCCTTCTCCGTCTGCCCCCACTCCAGATAACATGACTTCCTTTTAATACTCGAGGCAGTCTTCCCGTGCCAGAACGAGCCTGCGCTCAGCAAGAACGAGTTGATCCTGACGAGCGAGGCCATCATGAAGAAGAACGAGTTCCTGTGCTGCCAGGACAGCTTCCTGCAGGTGAGCTGCACCGGCCCGTGTCAGTCACGGGACACGGCTGCCGGGCACCGCCTGCCGGCTCTGTCTGTGTCTGCTTTGCTTCTTTTTAATAAGGGCTCGTTGCTCTGTTAAAAAAAAGTTTAAAATGGCCTGAGCAGACTCTCACCAGACAACAGGTAGAATGTATCGCACATCTCTTCTTAATGTATGTCTGACACACAGGCAGCACCTTATTAGAAGCAAAATGCTTTAGTTAAAAAACTGACCTTTTTTTTGGAGCCCTGTCCCTCTCACCTGCATTCCCACCTGTGGACCAACTCTTCTCAGTCATTCTGCATCCCAGTGCTTGCTCACAGTAGCAGGAGCAGCCGCAGGAGCTCCTTCTCTTACTGTATGAGGAATCGGAAATCCATTGGGTCAGCCTGCTTGTTCTTCCAGGGAGCCATTGCCTGGTGTCCTGTTGGGGTTTTGTTGTTGTGACTGACTTGGTTTCTGTTTGTCAATCATGCTGACGTGCTCCAGCAGCTTCCTCGAGCTTGCAGGCACGGCTGGAGGGAAAGTGAGGAACGCAGGGGTGCGTAACTGGCTCCCTTGCCGTCCTGGCTGGCGGCTCACACGCAGCACGCGCTCAGCAGGCCAGGGAAGAATGTGTCTCCCTTGGATTACTCGCTAGAGCCTGCTGAGCGTAAATAGACTGGCTTGCTCAAGGAGATTCTTCGCTCCTTCCGTTTGCATGCGGAGGTGTAGAATAGAGAGCACTCTTCTGGGCTTTAAAGTTTTCAAACCAAGAGCATGGTGAGGCTGAGCGCCTTTATTGTTTTCTCCCGAGAGGTTTGCTTTACTTCCTGTTTTTGAACAAACAAGTTAGAACTGCAGTTTGGTTTTTCTGCAAGCTTACGTTCACATATTTATTTTTCTGTTTATCCTCAAAGACCTTCACTGAGACAGGTTATGGGAAGTACAACGAGGTAATGTGTTTAGAATGCCGTGAGTGCTGAGTGGAGCGGGGCGAGCTCTGGCAGCAGCCCAGCGGTTTGCCGGCGCTCCAAGCCTGGCAAACGCAGCTTCTCTTGTTTCTTGCCTTTGACGCAGTGTGGCACGTGATCCCTTGACTGGCTGTATTTGTTTGTCCGGTGTGCACTGGTTCAGCCTTCACCGTACGTCATGCACACTGCAGATGCCGAGATCACGAAGACGACCAGATGTGCCCTAGCCCCCAAGATGCTCACAATCTGATGAGCTCAGATTTGCCGGGAGGGTCTGAGATCCACTGGCCAGAACAGCTTTGTCTGAGCTGTGAGATGTTCTTCAGCCCTAGCCCGCCCCAGAGCTGAAGCAACAAAGCCCACTCTTGAGTGGCTCAGAGCCTGGCCCCTGCCCAAGGCCGATGCCCCTGCTCGCACTCTGTGGAGTGTGTGTGACAATCTAATGGCTGGTTACTCATGTAATTAATTGCCTGCTGATTGCCGTGGTGTGAGTTCCCTCTAGTGTGCATGGGCTGTTTGATCCGAGTTCTGTTTGTTTCTGTTTTCCGTTCCACCAGGGGAGCACTGGTTTTTACCCTAACTTCCAGAGCGTCTGCCCGAAACCCTCTTGTAAGGAAAGCACTCCGCTAGGCAAAGCCACTGAACGTGTGTTCATTTCCAGTGCTCAGCTGAGGAGCAGGTTAGGTGTGTGCAGAGTCCATGCCTCCTGAGGCTGCTTGCCCTTCTGTCTGCTGCTGTGTCCCCTGTATGGCAGCCCAAGCAGCCCAGAGCACCCAGTGATGGAGTAGCAACATCGGAGCCAAGGGGGCTCTCGGGAACTTTCTGTAAAGACCCGGCCACAGCCAGATGAGTAGCTGGGGGAGGACACTCTGCCCTGAATGACACGGAGGAAGACTTCGGTGCACCAGGTGGAAATGCCTTTGAACAGCCCCTCCGGGAGGCAGAGCCGTGCCGAAACAGTTGTGCCACTGCCCGCTCCAGCTGCTTTCCCCTTGTGGTTTGTGGTGACTGCCCCTGTCTGAAATGGTGGTCTCAGGTTTCTAGTGAATGAGTCTGAAGGGCTTTTCCTTATTTTTAAAATTGTTAAGAAACTTTATTTGAAAGACATTACAGAGAGAGCTTTTCCGTGCACAGGTTCATTCCCCAAATGTCCATAACAGCTCTGGCCAGGTCAGGCTCAAGTCAGGAGCCTGGAACTCCATCCAGTCTCCTACTGGGTAGTAGGGTCCCAAGCACTTGGGCCATCTGCTGCTTTCCCAGGTGCATTAGCAGGGAGCTGGATCAAAAGTGGAGCTGCCAGGACTCAAAACAGCATCTGTATGGGATGCCAGTGTTGGAGGCAGCTTAGCCCACTGTGCCACACACCAACCCCGAGTTTGTCTTTAAAAAGAGCCTTTTAAGATGTTCAATTTCTTACAAATTAAAAGTCCTTTGTTAAATAAAAGTCCTTTCTGTATAGGGTCATTGCTGAGCTGCAGGGTGATCATTCATGTATGTCTGCTTTCCCTTTGGGAAGAAGAGTTGGTCAGAGTGGGTAGTCGTAAGGAAACTGTGGTCATGGGAAAGGACAGTTGAGGGGTGATAGACACCCCCCCGCCGCCCTGGTAGCCTGTGTAGCAACTAGGCTCCTGGGAGAGAGACTGAATTCCACAGAAACTTGAGAGAGAAGACTATGGAGAGGCACTATCACCTCGGCCACCCCTAAACCCCACCAGCTTCTCAGTGTCCTCCAGGTGACAAGGCTGATGCCAGACTATCCCAAGGGCTGGGGAGAGCAGGTGGCTGTGGAGACAGGTGCTAGGGCTATTTAAACCCAAGAATGTAAAGTTCTAGTGTTGTGCTTTCAGAAAAGGCAGGAACTAGAAATTGCTGGGTAGTCTGTAGAAACTTAAGAGATTTATTTTTGCAAATTTAAGATTGAATAGGACTAGGAAGTGTTAAACTCTCTGAGTTCCCTGCAGGATTTGATTTTTGCAAAAGTAAGCTTCTGGGTCGGTACATTTTAAAACATTTGTTTCCAGCTTACACGTTTTCAGCCGAGAAAGCGAGTAGGCTCCGGGCAGGGTGCGCTAGCCTGCTCTCTGGGGGCGTGCAGGCCACCCTGGGATTGAGCAGGTGCAGGCCACCCTGGGATTGAGCAGCAAGGCTTCATGAGACTCTGGAACAGTCTGCCGTTGTGCCAGCCCACACGTCCACCTCTATGTATGCCTCTGTCCTTAGCCAGCCACATAGCAGCTGGACACCTACAGCGGGCCACAGTCCATTCAAGCTCACTACGTGCGTGGTTTTCCCACAGTCATTGAGGGAAATCCCATTTCTGGGAAGGAGCTGGAGAGAAGCAGTCCGTCCGCTCCTTCTCATATCTAACACACATGCCTGGGTCAAAGCAGAGCACCTGATTGCCAGCTCCCAGGGCCGCTGAAGACCGGTGCTCCTGTACAGCGTGTGCTGCAGTCTGCCCCAGGAGTGCTCACAGAGCCAGTCCTGGGTGCTTGGTGTTTGCCGCGTGAGCAGCTAGTGCATTGCTCCTGGGAGCCCTCCCCAAGAGAAGGCTCTGCGACCCCAGTTCTAGGAGAGGCAGTGTGCCAGGTTGGTTGGCTGGCAGGCAGCAGATCATGAAGCCACATGTCTTCCCCTCTGGGTGGTCACCAGAAAACTCAGGTCTGTCATCTCTCAGCCTGGCCTGTCAGCCCCATCCCTACCATCACACACCTTCTGTCTTCTTCCTTGCTGCATGTTGTTGTCTTCCCTGTTCTGAAACAGCACAGACAGCCGCAGTGGCTGTGAGGGCGACGGCCAGGAATGCCTACAAAGTTCTAACTGTGTGTGGGAGGGAGCATGAGGCTCAGGGCTAGGGGTGGGTCGTGATGCAGAGAGAAACTGGGGTTTGCAGAGCTTTCTTGGAAATGAAGATCAGCTCACAGCACGATGTACAAAGCTGTGGTTTGGCTGATGGCACTTAATTTGATCATCATAGCTTTAGGAGAAGCCCTCAAGAATTAATCAGTGTAGAAATGAAAGTGTAAATGTATGCTTAGACCTGTTCGGGGCTGTAAGAATTTAGGCCATGTGGTGCTGGGAGAGCAAAAGAGTATTCCCTAGCAGCATGTAAGCTCCCCAGGTGGCAGTGTCACGGCAGAGTAGGGGATGGGCCTTAGAAGCACTTGCACCAACAGATTGTGGACGGGATGCCACTTTGTAATGGAGCCCAGATCCATGGTAACCTTTGCTACAGGTGCAACTACCTGTACTCACTACAGGAGCAGTCCCAGCACTGCAGTGAAGCATAGGTTGCAATAAAGGTAGGCACTCGTGTATTTTGGTTTCCTAGTACATACGGAAGTAGGCTTACACTCTACTATGATCTGTTAAAGGTGGAGCAGTGTCATGTCTAAAGAACCAACATATGTACCTCAATTCTAAAACACTTAAATGCTGGGGCTGGCGCTGTGATGCAGCAGGTTAAAGCCCTGGCCTGCAGCGCCAGTATCCCATATGGACACTAGTTCAAGTCCCTGCTGCTCTACTTCTTACCCAGCTCCCTGCTAATGTGCCTGGGAAAGCAGCAGAGGATGACCCAAGTCCTTGGTTCCCTCATCCATGTGAAAGACCCGGAAGAAGCTCCTGGCTCTTGGCTTCTGATCAGCTCAGCTCTGGCCATTGAGGCCATTTGGGGAGTGAACCAACAGATGGAAGACCTCTCTGTGGCCCTTTCAAATTAAAAAAAAAAAAGTCTTAAAAAAAAAAACAAATGCTAAAAATTGCTGACGATCATCTGAGCCTTCAGTGAGCCATAATCTTTTTGCTGGTGCATGGTTGTGGCTCAGTTTTGGTGGTTGCTGAAGGCTGGGGTGGCTGTGGCAGTTTCTTAAAATGAGCAGCAATGAAGTGCACCACCCAAACTGGCACTCCCCTTCTGTAGCGGGCAGTGCACTTTGCTAGCCCCTCACCTCCCGTAGGACCTTCTCAGAACAGGAGCCCATCCTCTGCTGCTGCTTTACCCGCCAAGTGTATGCAGAATTCCAGACCTCCTGCTGCCATCTCTAGAAACACAGCCTCTTCACCACGAGCAGGAGCCATCTCTAGAAACCACTTTGTCTGCTCATGCGTCAGAAACAACGCCTCATCTCTGAAAGGTTTATTGTATTTTAGCAATTCAGTCACCTCTTCAGCCCCCGCCCCCCATTGATTTTGTTTGCTTTTAATTATTCATTTGAAAAGCAGAGCAACAGAGAGAGATCATTGAACACTGAATCACTTCCCAAATGCCCACAGCAGGCAGGTCCAGGCCAAGCTGAAACCAGGAGCTGCACGTAAGCTGTGTGGGTGGGAGGAATCCAAGTACTTGGGCCACCATTTGGTGGCTCCTGAGTGCTTTCTAGGTGCATAAGCAGGAAGCTAAATCCTACAGAGGCACTTCAGTATGGGAGATGGGCAAGCTTGACCCAGTGTGCCACAATGCTTACCCCCTAGGACCCACTGCTCATTCTAGTTTTCTTGATATTTACACCACATCTTCAATTTCTTCCTTCACTGAAGTCTTTAGCCCTTCAAAGTTATCCGTAAGAGTTGAAATCCAAACTCCTGATAATACTGATATTTTGACCTCACAAGAATCAGAAGTGTTCTTAATGGCATCTAGAGTTGTGAATCCTTTTTATAAAGTTTTCAATTTACTTTGCTCAGATGCATCAGCAGAATCACTGACTATGGCAGCTATAGCCCTACAGGATGCATTTTGTTTTCAAGATTTATTTATTTATTTATTTGGAAGTCAGAGTTAGAGCGTCCATCTGCTAATTCACTTCCTAGATGGCCACAGTGGTCAGGGCTGGGCCAAGCCAAAGCCAGGAGCTTCTTCCAGGTCTCCCACATGGATGGCAGGGGCCTAAGCACTGGGGCCATCTTCCGCTGCTTTTCCCAGGCCATTAGCAGGGAGCTGGATTGGAAGTGGGGTAGCCAGGACTCAAACTGGCACCCGAATGGGATGTCAGCATTGCAAGTGCTGGCTTTACTGGCTGTGCCACAATACCAGCCCCACAAAATGTATTTTTTAAATCATGAGACTTGGAAGTCACAGCTACTTCTTGATCCTTAGCACACACACTGAGAACCTGTGTCAGGATTCTCCATGTGAGCTCTTGGGTGACCAGGAGCCCAGTCAGCAGTAGTATTTTGAAAAGAATCTTTTTGACTAGTAGATCTCAAGAGTGGGCCTTAAGATACACATTAAAGCATGTTGTAGACAGGTGCTGTCATCCAGGCCTTGTTTCATTTATTAAGCACCGGCAAGGTAGATTCTTAAGGGTCTTAGGATCTTCAGAATGGGATGTGGGCAGTGGCTTCAACAAAGTCACCAGCTGCGTTAGGCTTCTCTTTGGAGCTTTGAAGCCAGGTGTTGACTTCTGGCTGTGAAAGTCCTGGATGGCATCGTCTTCTAGGCTGAGGCCACGTTGCCTGCCACCCTCAGTTGCCCTCACTGGAGCTTCTGGGTCCCTTGCAGCGGCTGCCGCCTCAGCCTTTACTGCACTTGGATGTTGCCTAGATGGTGCCTTTCCTGGAACCTCATGGACCGATCCCTGCCAGACTCAGGAGTTTTCTCCTGCCGCTTCCTCACCCCTGTCGACCATCACAGACCCGCAGAGAGGTCGAGTCTTGCTCTGCATTAGGCTTTGGCTATAGGGAATGCCATGGCTTCGTGGTTTCGTTTTCTTACATGTGTGTTCACTGCAGTAGCACATTTCGGTTCCTTCAAGAACTTTTGCTCTACATCCACAGCTCAGCTGTTTGGCACAAGAGGCCTAACTTCTGCCCTGTCTCCTCGGATGTGCCTGCCTCACTGAGCTTGATCATTTCCAGCTTCTGCTAAAACTGAGATGTGCAGCTCTTCCTTTCACGTGAACACTTACAGGGTTATTACATGGCCAGGTTTCAGTATTGAAGAATCGGGGCCATGAGGAGATGGAGAGAGATGGAGGAACAGCTGGTGGTGCAGTCAGGACACATCCAACATCCCTGGGTGTGGTTTGTGGAACGCAAAACACAGAGGCATCAAAGGTCACTGATCACAGAGCACCACAGCAGATTTAATGAACACGTCAACAGGACGCAGAAATGAGTCAGGTGTGACTGAGACAAGTAAGCCCCTGCTGGTGGAAAAATCACACAGACTTCGTCACCACAAGGCTGCCGGAACCTTCAGTTTGTTAAAAGCTCAGTTGTCTGCAAGGTGCAATAGAGCAGTATGCCTATGTCTATTCAACTGCTGCACAACTTTGAGAAACTCATCATGTATTCCTGAAGTTTAATAGATAATGAATGTTACCACAACTATCATAGTTGGCCACGTTAAATGAATGTTACCATAACTTTCATAGTTAGCCGTGTTACCTGAATGTTACCATAACTATCATAGCTAGCCATGTTACCTGAATGTTACCGTAAGTATCGTGGTTAGCAGTGTTACCTGAATCACTAAGAAGCACAACTGATGTTTGCTGTGTAATCTTTCAGGAAATAAAAAAATTCATTAAGGGGGTTTCTGAGAGGATCAAGAAAACCAGAGATAAATACGGCATCAATGATAACGGCACGACAGAGGTAAGAGCCTTCCCAGTTGTGTCAGGACACCAAGGTGTTTGCAGGCGCTGCCAGCCCTAACTCTGCACTTGGCATTGTTCTTCCAGCCCCGTGTGCTGTACCAGCTGGACCGGATCACCCCCACCCAAATAGAAAAGTTTCTGGAGACCTGTCGGGACAAGTACATGAGGTGGGGGGCTACTTTCTGGACTGCTGGGCATCGCATGGGTCTCCCACCTCCCCTGTTTCCCCAGGGGTAAAGAATCCTGTGCCAGCACAACTTAGTAACTGCCAGTACTAGAGCAGATTCTGTCACCTCAGATCTAAGGACTCCAGTGCATTGCTTGACCAGATGCTGTAAAATATATGGAATTAACCGCATAGAAATGTCCCCAGAAGAAATTCCTGACACGTGCGGCAGGTGCCAGTACTCTGTGCCTTCTGTGCCATTGGGCAGGAGACCTCGGGTCTTTTCCAGGCCACAGATGTCCAGCCCGTTCGTCACATGCTGACCACGAGTAGCCACGCAGAATTCAGCTGCACAGTCATCTGCTTTGATCTTCCAGTTCCCCCATCTGCGCCTATTGCTGATCAATGCAAGGCTCTTACTCCATCTCAAATGCAGCCTAGCCCATTGCCAATTCCATCCTGACCCTGGTGGCGTCTGCTTATTTTCTGTTAAGAGGGGTCACCAGGAACCTGATGATTTCATCTTTGTCGTGTTGCCTTTTCCCTCCAGAGCACAGATGGAGCCGGGGTCTGCAGTGGGTGCATTGTGCGCCCAGAGTATTGGGGAGCCAGGCACCCAGATGACCCTGAAGACTTTCCACTTTGCAGGCGTGGCCTCCATGAACATCACCCTGGGCGTGCCTCGCATCAAAGAGATCATCAATGCTTCCAAGGCCATCAGGTTGGCTCCCTTGGTCCCACACACATCTGTCCTATCCCTGGAGAAGCAGTGAGCCTTGTGTTGCACGCATGCCTGTGATGCTCTCCTGGGACAGTGTCTCACACTCTGGACAGCACGCTTGCTGCACCAATCCCGTTTTAGTTTTGTAAAAAGTCACTCAGAAGCATAAGTTGAAACTGCATATAGTCAGAATGGAAGCAATGGCTTTTTATGGACACAAGTCAGATAATAGAAAGAAGTGAAAGTGACTAGGAAAATTGGAGCCATATGTCAGTGGAGGTTTCATCTTTTTGATGTCATTGCTCCCAGCCTGAATAGGCCCGACCGGTATGTCTGTCGGTTGGCCTGTGGTCAGACTCTGCAACATACACACACCCCGCAGTAGTTTCATGATAGGACTGGTAGGTGATCTGAGGCTAGAAGAAATCAGAATACATCACAGTGCTTTTGATGAGAAAAATCATTTCTTCCATGATCTCACTACAAAAATGAGAATGCATGGCATTTTTTTTTTTAAGATTTATTTATTTTATCTGAAAGGCAGAGTAACAGAGGTCTTCCATCTGCTGGTTCACTCCCCAATTGGCTGCAACGGCCAGAACTGCATCAATCCAAAGCCAGGAGCCAGGAGCTTCTTCCAGGTCTTCCATACGGGTGCAGGGGCCCACGGATTTGTTTTCATAGGCCATAGCAGAGAGCTGGATAGGAAGTAGAACAGCCAGGACTCAAACCAGCACCCATATGGGATGCCAGCACTGCAGGCAGTGGCTTTACCTACTGTGCCACAGCGCCGGCCCCAATGCATGGCATTTAATCAGATAGCTACACTTACTTCTAGAACAGTCACCGTGGATGTCCAGGGAGTTAGGAGCGCTGCCTGCCTCCCTGGCCTGGTCAGGTGAGTCCCAGGAATATGTGTTCAGGGTACACGTCCAGGACAGTAAGGATGGAGGCTGATGGATTTTGCTTGGAGGAGCCAGAGGTGTGCCTGGACAGCTGTGGTACCTGAAAGGTCGGTTCACGCAGGGAACAGAACTAAATAACTGCTCTGAGGACCAAAGAGAAAGTGGTAGGGCTCACTCTAAGGAAGAGTTTTCTGAAAGCCTTTTCATTTCTCTGGTGGAGAAATGCCTGGGGAGCTCCCAGAATAGTAAGTCTAAATGAGAACGTGCACAGCCCTTCGCGGCATGTCCGACACACAGGGAGCACTCAGGGAAGGGCAGCTGCGGCGCTTGCCCAGTCTTCAGTGTTACAAAGCCGTCGTCCTCAAGCAGGCCCCGGCCGTGTGCCGTAATCGTTTCTCCCTTGCCTGCCACAGCACTCCCATTATCACAGCACAGCTGGACAAGGACGACGACGCGGACTACGCGCGCCTCGTGAAGGGGAGAATTGAGAAAACCCTCTTGGGGGAGGTAAGAAATCCCTCTTGGAAACCAGAAAACTGGATCAGCAGTGTCGTAAGAAGTTTAAGAGCGGCCACTGTGTGTGGACCCATCAGTCACGGCCACACTATTCCTGCTCTCTAAAAAACACATTGAAAAGGCAGGAAGCCGTCTGCTCTTAGGGGAGGGAAGGACTGATGACCGTTCTGACATTTTGCCACTGCAGATTTCGGAGTACATCGAAGAAGTGTTTCTTCCTGATGACTGCTTTATTCTCGTCAAGCTCTCCCTGGAGCGGATTAGGCTGCTGAGACTGGAAGTGAGTCACGTGATTAAGTGGTAGAGGAAGGAAGTCATCCTGCTAGTGCCAAGACAGGTGCTGATAAAGCAGGGTGACAGGGAGCGCTGCAGAGGCTCTGTCCCGTGTCTGGCGTTGGATTCTGTTGTACCTTCTCGTTCTCTCTTGCTGCACCTGAGTTGGGGTGGGTGTTCCACCTATCAGCAAAGATCCCCAAGTCCTCCATCAGAGTCTCTGTGTGCCCAGCTGAACTCCTCACTCCACTTTCCTGCTACTGCAGACCCTTGGAGCAGTGGTGATGGCGCAGGTAACTGTGTTCCTCACACCCGTGTAGGAGACCGGGGTGGAGTTCTTGGCTCCTGGGACCATCATGAGCATTTAGGGAATGAACCAGACCAAAAATAGAATGGGAATTCTATCTTAGAAAACAATAAAACTAAAAAAAAAAATATTTAAAGCCCACTCCTGACAAAAGTTGTGTAATAAGACTTGGGACTTCAGCTGCAACCCCGTGGCGTGTTTTGTGATAACGGGTCACCTCATCCACCTTCCCAGTTTCTGGAAGGACCCTAGGGCCAGCTGTGTCTTCCTCACCTCTAGGCTCCCAGTGCAACAGTTGGTTGGGTCAGTGGATGATTTTTTTTTTCTACTCATCTGAAAGAATGACAGAGAGAGAGAGAGAGATCTTCATCTGCTGGTTCACTCTCCAAATGCCCACAATAGTCAGGGTTGGGCCAGGCCAAAACCAGGAGCCTGAAACTCCATCTGGATCTCTCATTTGGGTGGCAGGGCCCCAAGTACTTGAGCAATCTCCTGCTTCCTCCCAGGATGTAGTAGCAGAAAGACGAATTGGAGGCCAAGGCTCCGCGACTCAATGCCAGGCGCTCTGATACGGACACAAGTGTCCCAAGTGGTGGCTTAACCCCCGGCTTGTCCCAGTGAATAGTTTTTGTTGTGTAGATGAACCTAACTTGTTACACTGGCATTGATGAATAGGTGAAGCTAAAAGACGAGCAGCCTTTCTCAGACTCGGGCAAGGTACACGCTGTGAACTGAGTCATGTCCTGGCACCCTCCTCGTAGGGAGTTACACCTGAATTAGTCTTTAAAACACATTCTCTCAAGTGTGAAATCCATGTGCTGCCCGTGTGACTGTTGACTCAAGTCTGGCAGCCAGTTCTCCAGAGTGGGGACTGCTAGAGCATGTCCCTAGCTGCCTGCCTGGGGCTCTGTTACCAGAAGAGCATGTGGCACATGGACAGCCATGGTGATGGCAGATAGTGGGGTGCTCCACTGAGGCTGGATGCGTCCTGGCCTCCAGCCACCGTGGAGCCACCCAGAGGCAGCACGGGCCTCCCTGAGTCGAGCATGAGTTCTCAACAGGGCGAATAGTGGTTCTTGGGGGGAAAAACACCTACTAGTTTGATGCGTAAAGCACAGATACACAATACGTAAACAGGTATGTGCATAATAACATTTTTGTGGTTTAGAGGGAGGAAAGGGTCTAAAAAGGGTTCTTAGAGGGGCAGTAATGAAATACATGGTGAAAAGCGTGTGGTTGAAGCCTGCAGACCTGTGTCCATAACAGCTGCTGGGTTGCCGTGCAGGTGAACGCTGAGACCGTGCGCTATTCCATCTGCACGTCCAAGCTGCGCGTGAAGCCGGGCGACGTGGCCGTTCACGGCGAGGCTGTGGTGTGTGTCACCCCCAGAGAGAACAGCAAGAGCTCCATGTACTACGTACTACAGTTCCTGAAGGAGGATCTCCCCAAGGTGAGGCAGGAGTCGCACTGCCAGAGAGCCTGTGTTTACCTGGAGTGGGAACACCCAGGAGTGGGAACCCTAGGGACTTTGTTCATGACCCACACTGGGGACGGCGCCCATTTCTTTGTTTCTCCTTGGCCCCATCCCTAAGGGATCAGTCGGGTTCTTTTTATTAGCACACCATCCCCGCCCATCGGGCTCTGCCATGCTCTCTAGTGCAGCTGATGGTGGATTGGGGCATAGCCCTTGACCCCCCAAGGTACACCACAGGCAGTTGGGTTTAAAGTGTTACTGGTGACCTCTGCCGAGCACTGGGGTGAGAAGCCCCAGCCCCAGGGCCTCCCCTTCCCTGCTGTTAAGCTGTTGTGATTTGAGGCTCTCAGGTTGGTGGGGCCATGGATGTCGCAGTGTGCAGAGCCCGCCATGTCTCTGAATCCAGGTGGTGGTACAGGGCATCCCAGAAGTCTCCAGAGCTGTCATCCACATTGACGAGCAGAGCGGGAAGGAGAAGTACAAGCTGCTGGTGGAAGGCGATAACCTGCGGGCAGTCATGGCCACCCACGGCGTGCGGGGCACCAGAACCACCTCCAACAACACGTATGAGGTATCGCCCACCCCTCAGTGTCCACTCAGGGTCCTACTGGCTCCCTCATGCCGCTTGCTGGCCCCCGGCTCGCTCCCAGCACAGCTCACTGAGCCTTCTGTTTGCACTGGGTTTACCACGAGGAATGGCGTAAAATCCACTTCTGGGAAACAGTGCAGGCTGGCCTTGAACCTGCAGGGCAGAGAAGGAAGTGGGTAGACATGGAGGCACCGTTCCCAGAAATCTCCACTCGCACTCACCGCAGCTCTCCACAGGTGGAGAAGACACTGGGCATCGAGGCTGCCCGGACCACCATCATCAATGAAATCCAGTACACGATGGTCAACCACGGCATGAGCATCGACAGGAGGCACGTCATGCTGCTCTCCGACCTGATGACCTACAAGGTGTGTGGGCGGGGCCTCTGCAGATCACTCTCCGGAGGAGAGAGACACGTGGAGTGCCCTGGAGAGGAAACCAGAAACCAGAACTCGGTGGGGCTGGATGTCATGTGAACTCTCAGCGGGAGAACCGCAGCGTCACGGCACCCCCGGGCCACGTTGGCGAAGTGCGGAGCCCTGCCTGGCCATGGCTCTTGTCCACCTCTGGATTTTAGCTAGTGCCCAGCTAGCCTTTGCCCAGAGCCCAGAGGGCCCATGCTGAGCGAGGTGTTTATTCCCTGTCTGGTCCTCTGCATAACTTCTGTGAGCATTTCTAGGAGGAAATTAGGTTAGCAGGATCTGAAGCAGGAGGCTGAGGAGTGGGGTGCTAAGGCTAGGCACTTAATTTTTTCTGGTGTTTTTTTTTTTTTTTTTTTCCCAAAATAATGCTTTCCCTCCAGCAGCGCTATGGGGCAGTGGGCTTTCCTGTGCTGTGTTACAGGGCATTCAGAAACCAGCTGAGGGTGGCCAGTTTCTCACCCCCACGAGGGAAAGGCTGCCTCCCAGTCCGCCTCCCCAGGCTTGTTCTGGACACGCAGCTCCTCTGTGTGCGCAGTGTGCGGTATGCATGGGATGTGTAACCTTGTAAATATTTCCCTGTCCCACAGCCTTTACAAACACTTCTGTAGTGACGGTGCACACTTTCATCCTTGGAATGAAAGGCCCTACATGTAACGAGTTCTTTTCCTACTGGAGTCTTATTCTTCTTTGAGCCATACTGAACACCTTCAGAAGCGTTCCCGTTCTCTGCAGGGAGAGTCCCAGGTCTCTGTTAGGTCGGGGGTGGGACACCCCGAGCCAGCAGCGGCTCACCTCCTCATGGGCACAGAGGCTGGACGCATAGCCACTGAGGTCCCTTTCAGACCTGCTTTTGCAGCTTGAACTGCCTCTTGGCTGATGCAGGTTTGCTCTGTCGAAGGGCAGCACAGTGCTTTAAACGAGCTCTTGGCAGTGGCCCGAGTGCCTCTGACCCTCTGTCTCCTGGTGCAGGGGGAAGTCCTGGGCATCACCCGGTTTGGCCTGGCCAAGATGAAGGAGAGTGTGCTGATGCTGGCGTCCTTCGAGAAGACCGCTGACCATCTCTTCGACGCTGCCTACTTTGGCCAGAAGGACTCCGTCTGTGGTAGGTTTGGCGTGTCAAGGAGTGCAGTCAGAGGCCTGCCTTATTTACAGCAGGGACCGTGGCTGGATTCTAGGGATACCCAGGGAGTCAACTAAGGCAGAGCTTTAGTTTTTTGGTTTCTTTAAATTTATTTGGGAGGCAGAGTTACAGAGAGGGATCTTCCATCTGCTGGTTTGCTCCTCAAATACCCACAACAGCCAGGGCTGGGCCTGACTGAAGTCAAGATTCAGGAGCTTCATCCTGGTCTCCCGCATGGGAACAGGGATACAAGCACTTGGGTCATCTCCCGCTGCTTTCCCAGGTGCATTAGCAGGGAGCTGGATCGCAAGTGGAGCAGCCAGGATTCAAACCAGCACCGATATGGGATGCCAGTGCCACAGGCAGCTTAACCCACTATACTACAACACCAGCCTCCAGAGCCTTACTGTTTTAAGAATAAGGCACAGGTCATAGCATCGGAACCCATCAGTCTTGCACCTTGCATCTCCTCCATGAGGCAGTGCAGTTTTTGGTTCAAGAAGGAAAGGTCGAGCCTAGGCTGGTGGAAAGTTTTCCTGAAGTTGTAGTTGGCCACACGATCCAGCTCCCTCTGTGTGATGCCAGCGTTGCAGGAGGGAGGCAGTGTTGCAGCCGCCCAGGTGGTGGCCAGAAAGGCAGCGGCACCCTTTTTACATCTGTTGAGCCCTCTGCCAGGCACATGGATGCAGTGTCTCAACCCACTGTGATGTGTGTGGTCAGTCCTGTCTCAAGCGAGCAGAGCAAGTGGCCTCATCACTGTTGCCCAGGCCAATGGCAGGGTCACACCCTTGTGCGTACCTTCAACCTGCCCACTCCACAAAGTCCCCTCTGGAGGCAGTGTACTGGCCTGGCCGAGAGGGAGCATGAGCAGGAACTGTCACCTCAGTGTCTGAATGACCTGCTGCCTCCCCTGAAGACTGGGGCCAGGGAAGGGGTTGGGGCCCAGGAGGGTCCATAAGCTGTCGGGGTCATGTGCCGTTGAGGCCCAAGCAGGGATTTAGAGCCTGGCCACCATTCTCAAACCAGAGTTGTGCTTCCCGTTAGCCACGTTCTGCCACCTCTTAAGCAGTTGCGTGGATTTGTGAACTGCACAGTGGTCAGGTGAGGCCTCATGCGGAGCATACGATTATTTTTTGTCCCTAAGATGCAGACGAGAGATGGAAGGAAAGAGAAATTACATGATTATTTAAGCTAAGGGTAAACGAAGAAAAGCAGCAGAGGTTCAGGAGGGCCAGAGGGAGGTGTAATTAGCAGAAGAGGGCAAGGCCAAGGCAACATGAAGAGCAGGTCTGCCTGACACGCAGGAGGAAGTGCCAGTCCCTCAACCCTGACACCAGGAGGCTGGGCCCCTGCTACCTCTCCAGCGCTGACCCTCTAGGGACCTGGCCTAGTCCCTCACCCACTTTGAAGTGGCCTCCTCCTCTTGGTCCCTCTGCACATCGTAACCCCCGCTAACCTTCACTCCGCGTAGGGTTTTAATTTGGTTGTTTGCCTCTCTGCTTCCCCGTTAGCACAAAGCCTGGCACGTAAACGCCAAAGCCTGATGCAGGGCCAACATTTGTGTCTGGTTAGAGCTGAAATGGAGCTTGGAGAAAGAATCTGCACCGCCCCTTCTGTAACTCCATAGGAACCATGCCTTCTGAATGTTTCTCATTAGGGCTGAGGGTCCCCATGGCCCGGCTCGGGGGCTGTGAAGGCTGGCCCGGCCCCTTCCCCCAGCCACAGCTGACAGCTGTCTGTGGTCTCCTAGGGCAGTATCATCTGCTCACTACTGTGCCCCATTGTTTGCTTTTTCTTCTAAGGCCCAAGCTGAGGAAGTGTGGGGTGAGCCTCATTCAGTATCCTTGAATCTGAGTTGAGCGTTCTCAAAGGCAGGGCCCACAGGGTGCCTGTGACTCAGATGGGAGAGGAGAACCGGCTGGGCTGACCCAGTCTCCAGGCTGTGGGTTGGAAGCCGGTGCTGTCCTTCCCCGAAGGTGCCGAAGTCCTCACACCTGCCCAGGAGCACAGCGCTGAGCTGTGTTCCACGGCCACTTGCAGACAGGAAGGAAGATAAGCTGTCCAAGTTGAGCCAGCTGATGGAGTGGAGCTGGGGGCCAGACCCCGACTCCCTGCTGCCTGAATCACGTCTCCGTCCCGACGGCCCCTGTGTAGACAGGCTCTCTGATCTCCGCTCTGCTTGTTGCAGGGGTGTCCGAGTGCATCATCATGGGAATCCCGATGAACATCGGCACCGGCCTCTTCAAGCTGCTCCACAAGGCCAACAGGGACCCCAACCCTCCCAGAAGGCCCTTGATCTTCGACACAAGCGAGTTCCACATCCCCCTTGTCACGTAGTCCCGGGGAAGAGGAACCATTCCCGGCCTCAGCTGCTTGTCCTGTCTGCAACTGACTGGGAGAGCTTTGTGCTCCCCGGGACAGAGGCCCTGATGTCCCCGCCTGTGCCAGACGGCAGAGAAGGCCTCTGCATCCCAGGAGCAGCTCCTCCCCGAGGGGGAGCGGCCCACACCGGTGACCCTGCCTGCACCACGCTGCTTGGAGAGAACTGAGGGTTTTATTGTTTGTTTGAAACTCAATGTACAGATGGCTCCACACTGCCTGCCCATCCCTAGGCTGGGGAGGAGACCCCAGTTGGGCGTTGCTGCACATCTGTCCGTCAGCTCCCACTGGTGTCTTCACAGCTGGCTGGGAGCCAGGTCTGAGCCCCGCACAGGCCAGGCCACATTCCTGGTCTCTCCTTTCCTTAGTCGGGCTGGAATCTCATTATGTGACGTGCTCCTTAATATACTGCTTCCGTTACTTATTTGTTCCATTTGAGAGAGTTAGAATTTTTGCTTTTTACTTTTGAACCCAAGAAGCTACAGAAACTGGGAAAGCCAGCACAGAAGTGCCACAGAAAAACTGGTCAAGCAGAGGGAACCGTCTAGGATTCGTAACCGGGCTGAGCCTGTGGGGAGGCCCGAGCTGCACTGAAATGTCTTTGTGGACGCCTCTGACTATCCTGTTGTGTTCATCGACCTCTGACCCCTTCGGGACAGGGCTCTCTCTTGTGACAAACCAAACCCATTCTTCTTGACCACAAGGCTTGCCGAGGTGGACGTGGGATGGCTTGGAGCTTTTGGGGAAGGTTGGTCCGGGCCACTGCACCTCCTTGTGCTGGCGTCCACGCCATCCGCACGTTTGGTGCAGAACTGGTGGCTATGCAATGCCCCAAAGGTGCTGATGGGAGAGGGACTAGCATAGGTCCAGGAAGACACCAGCTGTAAGGAATAAAAGGGTCACGGAGACAGAAGGGCAGGAGGGTTGGGCATCAGCTGGAGCTGAGGTCATGCACCAATTGGCCACTGTAGGCTTCTTGGGCGGCATCCACCTCCTGTGACAACAGAAGGCAGGGACTCCTGGAAGACGCGTGGTCGCCACCTGCTCAGGCTCTGCTGCTCACTGCAGCGTTGCTGGGGGAGGCTAAGGCGGCTGAGGGGCTTTCATGCTCCACAGGAAGGAAACGTAAGCAGCTTGTCTTCAGACAGTGTGTTCTTTGTCCTGTCCTGAGCTTGCTCCGTGGCGTTGGCCAGGGGCCAGCGAGAGCAGTGGAGAGGGCTGTAGCACCCTCCTTGGAAAGAACAGCGTCCATTCCCAGTGCTGGCACCTCTTCTGGCCCTTCCTTCCTCCCCAAGGGGGGCCCTCCCCAGCCACGGCCCCTTGGCTGGGAGTGACACAATGGTCACAAGTGGGGACTTGACCCTCCTGTGTGGCCCCGTGCACTGGGGCAGGTTCGTTTGTGAAATGACACGGTCAACCTGTAAGAAACAGCGGCCCATACCTAGGAGGCAGGATTTGATTGTGGAAGTGAAACAACCAGTATGGATTAAAGAGATGGGTACAATAAGAGAAAAAATAGGGGAGGTGCATGAACTTGAGTAATCTATAGATTGCATGTTCCTGAGTTCAAGGTAACGCTGCTGAGGTTCGTGGCGGGTGGCAGAATGAGCGTTTTTCCCCCATACTGTGGGGTTCTGAATTAGAAGTCCTGACCTTCAGCCATTGCTCAGGTGAAATCTTGCATCAGGACGTGTGGTTGGACCCTGAGTTCTCCCTGTGCCCACAGTGATAGGAAAACGCCATCCGTGGTCCCTGATGTTTGGCCCCCTGTATCTTGGAACTGAGCCAGCCTGGTTCATGACAAAGGATGGAGCTGTTAATAAGGGCTGACTCAGTGTTTCCACTGGAGCCGGCCGCCCAGGGCACTGCTGCTCTCACGCAACCCAGGGGAGAGCCACAGAGGGCGCCCACCCCCCGCAGCTGCCAGCCTGGGAAAGACGCCATGGGCCTGATGAGATCCAGAGGCAGTGGGGTGCACGCATTGGGCGCGGAGGGGCACAGGCTGCTGGCCTCTGCTGACACCTTAGGGAGGAGCTCTAAAGACGGCACCGCCGCCTCCTGCTTGGGCCTGTGAGACAGGTGTGGCTGGTGGGTGCAAGTCTGCACTCCAGAACCAGCTGGCCTCGGGGTGGGCAGTTACAGAGGAGCACGTCTCCCAGGTGCCCTGGTCCTGCCAGCCCTGCTGTGACCTGTGACACGGGCCACACTGAGCAGTACCCCATTCTGTGCCCCTCCTGCATCCCATGCTGAGTGCTGAAACCCCAGGCCTCTGCCCGGGCACGGGGCTCCATGCCAGCACAGAGCACCGTGACCAGGCAGCAGTGCCATCCTAAGAGCTCAGTGGAGGGCTGAGACTTTGTTCTCACCTACTGGGAAGACTGAAGAGAAACACATTTTGAGTTCTGTCTCACCCTCGAAAATGTCCTTGTTTCTGACCAACCATCCGTGCACTCTGCCCTTTTGCATCTTTTGTACAAAGGGAACTAAGCTAGCCCCCGCGTGGTCCGATCCTTTGTGGGCGGGGTTGCGTTCTGGCATCTCAGCGTCTGTCAGTTGTCATGGAGCCAGGTTCCAGTTACAGTGCAGCGCCATGCAGACTCAGAGTCATGTCTGAACCTGACACTGAACGGTGGTTGCTTCCCTTGAATTCTTACTGTGCCTTGGCAGAGCACTTTATTTTTCTACCGAAACTCAGGAGGAAAACCTGCTGCCTCTGAAGCTGGGAGAGTCATCCCTGTGGGTTATGAATGAAGCAAGGCAGTTGGGCTCCACACAGACTTAGCTCTGACTCAGCTAAGAAACATTGCCCCCCACCAGCGCTCCTCTGCTCACCGTCCTTCCCACCCTCGCCACCTAGAAGCTGGGAAGCAGGGGCGGCCCTGTGGTGTGGGGGATTCAGCTCCAGCAGGACATGCCACCTGACCAGGGTGAGCCACCTCGCGAAACCATCCCTTAATTCCAGAGACAAAGGGCCTGCTCTAGCCAAGGCATTTCACAGTGCTGGGAGCGCAGCAGTAAACACAATAGGTGCCTCAGGTATTGATCCAGCTGCGAAGACCCCAGCAGATGGGGTCAGAGCCTCAGGCTGCACCGGACAGGAAAAGGCCCCTGTGTGCTGCAGCCCTCTGGTCCTAACTGCCCCCACAAGGCCTTCGGGCCCCTAATTTGGCCTCCTTCCCTTAGGTTTGGGTTCCTGAGGGTGTGTCCTGAGCCGAGGCCACAGCCTGCAGTCACTGGGAAAGGATGCTGCCCGCCATCCCCACCCCGGCCTCCTGCAAGGGTTAGGGTGTGAATCACTTCTGCTCTGTGTCCGGCTGCACTGGGCGCCTGGGGAATGACCGTGCCTGGTCAGTGTCCTCTCTGTAAGAGCCTGGACTCTGCTGTCAAAGTCCCAGGATTCAAATCGCAGTTCCCTTCTCTGGGGACTTGGAACCCATGGCAACCCCTCCTGCCCTCACTTTGCTGGTTTCTAAGAAAACCTGAGTAGTGTCTACCTCGGTCGGGGTCAGTGAAGTTTAATGGTGATATCTCAGATCAAGGTTTTAGTACAGTGTTCGGCGCACTGTCCACACTGAATGTTTTTTAAGATAATTTGAATGGAAAGATTTACTTGAGGGGCCAGTGTGGTCCAGCAAGTTAAGCCACTATATGCAGTGCCAGATTACCACATGAGCACCTGTTCGAGTCCTGGCTGGTCCGCTTCCAATCCAGCTCCCTGCTAATGTGCCTGGGAAAGCAGTACAAGATGGCCCAAGTGCTTGGGTCCCTGCACCCATGTGGGAGACCCGGAAGAAGCTCCTGGCTTCAGCATGGCCCAGCCCTGGTTGCTGTGGCCATTTGGGGACTGAACCAGCAGATGGAAGATATCTCTCTCTCTCTCTCTCTTTCTGCCTCCCCCCCCCCCCCAGTAACTCCACCTCCCAAATAAAGTCTATAGAAAGATTTATTTGAAAGAGGAAAAGAGATCTTCCACTTGCTGGTTTACTCCCCAGATGGCCACAACAGCCAATGCTGGTGTGAGCCCATGCCAGGAGCCAGGAACTGTGTCCAGAGCCCCTACGTGGGTGGTAGGGATCCATGCACTTGGGTCATCTGATGCTGCCTCCAGGTGCGTTAGCAGAGAGCTGGTTCAGAAGCAGAGCAGCTGAGACTCAAACTGGCGCCCCCATAGGGGATGTGGGTTTCCCCAGCAGCACTTCAACCTGCTGTACCACGATGCCTGCCTCTGTGTCAAATATTTGCAGTTGCAGTGAATGTTAGTATTTCTGCTGAAAAACATGCTCTGTGAACGGGAGACCAGTACTCTGCTCTCCTTGTTTTAACTGGAGGAGTTGGGCGACCTCATGCTCTGGTTCGCTCTCCAGATGCCCTTACTGGCTGGGCTGGAGCCCTGGCCCTTTTTAATTCACCCAAGCTGGGCCATCTTTGTGGCCCTGGGAGTCCGGCCTCCCTGGACACAGCGCGTGTCTCACCATCTGCTCAGTCGGTAGATCCTTAGGAGTGTTTGTCACTGGGAGGAGGATGGCTGTGACACTGGCAGGTGAATTGCTAGAGGCTAGAATATGTGAATTGGGAACTTGATGTGGATGGGATCTGGTTCATGAGTGGTTAAGACCAGGATAATTCATAGTGACAGGTTTTTCAGAGGGAGAGATGGGAGTTGACTCGATCATCTATTCAGGTCTGTCATGTAAGAGGATTTCCCAGAAAGGGGAACTTGACTTTCTCTTAAGAAGCTGGTTAAGTGGCCGGCGCTGTGGTGCAGGGGTAAAGCCGCCGCCTGCAGTTCAGGCATGCCGTATGGCCGCCGGTTCAAGACTGGGCTGCTCCACTTCCGATCCAGTTCTCTGCTATGGCCTAGAAAAGCAGTAGAAGATGGCCCAAGTCCTTGGGCTCCTGCACCCTTGTGGGAGGCCCGGCCGAAGCTCCTGGCTCCTGGCTTCAGCGCAGCTCCGGCTGATACGGCCATCTGGGAGTGAACCAGTGGATGGAAGACCTCTCTCTCTCTATCTCCTTCTCTCTCTGTGTAACTCTAACTTTCAAGTAAATAAAATAAATCTTTTAAAAAAAAAAAAAAAAGCTGGTTAAGATGGTTGCCTCTGGGGACAGACCGACCCAGGGTGACTTAAAGAGAGAGGAAGTGGCGTACTTTTCCCTCTGTTGTACCTTTCTGATTTTGTACCTTCTGAGGTTTTTTTTTTTTTTTTTTTTTTTTTAAGCTCAGTCCCTGACAGTGGTGAGGAAGTCACAGCACCTTGGAGCTTAGCTGGTTCCAGGAAATCCCAGGTGCTCTGAAGGGAAAATGCCCTCCCAGGGGCCCCGGTGAGGCCACGGGTCCCTAAGACTTCCCTTGCTGACCCAAGGCCCCAGCAGGCATGCCGGGCTTGGGAACAGCAGTTTCACAAAGTGGCCAGGGGGGC